AAAATCAATTACATAACATCCCTCCACCCTTAGACATGTATAAAAGCATTTTTTCATTGAATGCTTTCTTTAATGTCATTGACACCTTCTGTTTTTTATGCTTTTACACTATTTATCTGATGCTTTGATTATGTAAAAACTAATACAGGTGTGGGCAAAAGTAGGTTTAAAATAACTCATATAATAATCCTTATAGGATAAAAGCCTAATATGCAAATTGTCCCCTCTGGCAGTCTTTCAACCAGGAGTTCAACCACTAGCTATGGCATGTGCTGACCACCGGGGGGAGGGGAAGAAGAGAGGGGGAGACTGTGCAGTACATGGCAGGTGTTGGTGACGTGGAGTTCAGGCAGGAGCTGCGACCTCTCGCCAGCTACCTAGGTGCAGGGGTGATGGGAATGAAGATGTGGTGAGAATGCAGGGTGTCCACCCAGCTTGATCTCACTCCCCCTGCTACCTCCCAGCAGAATGGCAGGGCTCACGCACACATCCGGGAAGCCCCCTGTGCTCATGTACTGGGCACCTACAAGGAACCTGCCCCACATCCGTGCAGCATCTTCCAAGTGTGCCAGGCCACGGCCTCCAAGACCACAGGCTGGTCAGGCTCCCTGTGGGTTCAAGCAGGAGCTGGTCTCCAAGGCTGGCCAGGAGAGAGCTCGAGAGAGCAGGCTGCCTGCCCGGTTTCTGTGCAGCACCACTGGGCAGCCCAGAGGCCCGTACTGCACCCCGGCCTGCGGCATCCAGCTACATTCACCACATCTCTGCATGGGGACTCGGGCACCGTGACTCAGGCAGAGGGAGGTGCATGGGGGTTTGGGGGCACAGGTGCTGCCCAGGGCCCAGAGGTCAGCTGGGATCTGCCCTTCTATGCCAGATGCTCGCATTCCCGGACAGGCCCAGGGACCGCATCCGTGCACGAATTTTGTGCACTGAGCCTCTAGCTAATAAATACAAGAAAAAACTCTGTTTCTCATACAACTACTTGTGCCCACTCCTGTATTATGTAAGGTCAGGTTTCAGCAAAATCTGGACTGTTAACCAAATAGATTATTGGTGTTGGTTTTTCACTCTCAAAGTGGTTATTGGTTTAGGTAATGACTTCTCAATAATGGTATTTAAAAAAAAAAAAAAAAAAAAGCTCTATATGAGATTTCTAGTTGAGGAAGTACCTGAACATAAATTAGCCCATCTGGAGGCTTGTAATCACATAGTTATCTTTACATCCAGGTAAAATGGCAATTCCTGTGCTTTGGGAGTTTCTGGAGAAGTATCCTTCAGCTGAGATAGCAAGAACTGCAGACTGGAGAGAGGTGTCAGAACTTCTTAAACCTATTGGTCTCTACGAACTTCGAGCAAAAACCATTATCAAGTTCTCAGGTAATACCCACATACCCAAAGGAAAAACATAAACTGTGCTTCCATAAGAAAGCCACACCTTAAACTTTTATGTCCACGGATGCTATATTAATAGACGTCGTTCAGCTCAAGCACCAAAGGCGTTTAAAACAGTTCACTTACCCCAAGCCACAGTCACCCATCAACCCATGCAATCAATCTTTGCCCAGCCATGTAAGCATAATTAGAGGAAGAAGTCATTGAAGCAGAAAGCCCTCTTTGAATAAGCACAAAATAATAATGGTCAGTAAGTGGCAGGTGAGATATTCAGACAGAGATGCTTCAGGAACTCGGCAGAAAGAGCAATCACAACTGGGGTTGTTAGGAAAGATTCTTCCCTGCCCCCTTCTGCTATTCTCCTCCATTACCACACATTTGGGGAAAGTGTCTTTCTTGAGGCTGGTCTGATATGTGGGCTATTGCATTCTCAGATGAGTATCTGACGAAGCAATGGAGATATCCAATTGAGCTTCACGGGATTGGCAAATATGGCAACGACTCCTACCGAATTTTTTGTGTCAATGAGTGGAAACAGGTGAGGTGCACTAGCAGCTAGAACATCTCTTGTTTCTGAGGCAAAATAAGACCACTATTATGGCTAAAACTATTTGTTGGTCAGACATGCTATTATAGTCACAAACAATTTTGTTCCAAACTTGAGGGGCAGTGGGTGGCAGGCAGTTATCGGCAGCAAGGAGAGGATCCATAGACACTCCCAAGTCCATAAAGACTCCTTGGTGTGACCTCTGACCGACCTCCAGCAGTTTGTCATTTGGCCCTGTTCCTGTCATTACATTCATGTAATGTTTCTAAGCCTGATGTAGTTTTCTTCCTGTCACAATCCTACGAGTCTTTAAAAGTACACCACAGGAAAGCAGGCAGGTCTGAGCTTGGAATGCTACTAGGGTTTCTCCTAATAGTCTCAAACTATTTTTGTGGTAACTGGATCCTACTTCAGCTGCCCGTTCTATTTAGTTGGTCGGCAAACTCATTAGTCAACAGAGCCAAATATCAACAGTATAATGATTGAAATTTCTTTTGAGAGTCAAATTTTTTAAACTTAAACTTCTTCTAATGCCACTTTTTCAAAATAGACTCGCCCAGGCCATGGTATTTTGTGGAAGAGCCTCATTCAAGGGGCCAAAGAGCCGCACGTGGCTCGAGAGCCACCGTTTGCCGACCAGTGGCCTAGCACATGGGCATCTGGGTGTGTAGTGCTGGTAAGCACTGCCAGGTAGCCTGCTACACTGCCCTCTTAGTCTGTGATCAGCTAATAGGTCTGTCTGGCCAAGCCCAACCCTGCTCCATCATTTATTGTGACCTGAGCAATTCATTTAACTCTGAGTCAATAACCTCCTACTGGAAATGGTATATTATTCCTTGGTCATGTTATCACTCCTTCATGCACCAGGTTCTGGTGACGATCAGTACTAAATTAGAAAGTACTTTATACACTGTAAAGTATTACCTTAATATAAGGTATCATTTTAAACATTTGTGAATCCAGTTAAGTTAAAGGTTATAATTTTCAGGTTATTATCATAATGTATGTTCTCCCACCGTATCTTTAAAAAATCAATTTTATAAATGTATTTCTAACTAACTTACTCATTTCTTACAGGTGCACCCTGAAGACCATAAGTTAAATAAATATCATGACTGGCTTTGGGAAAATCATGAAAAATTAAGTCTGTCTTAAAAACTCTGTGATGTTTTAAAACTCACTTTTTATATATTGCTTTGACTCTTCAGAGCTCCATGAAGCCAACCAACTATGTTTCCAGGTATATAGGTTTTAATCGGCCCAATTAGAAACCTAATTCTTAATGTGTGTGTCACTGGTAGATCTTTACTACTGAACGTGCTGTAACATGTTTTGAGATTTCTTTAAAAAAATAAATTGTTATTTGACAACAATCCTAAAAATGTATATGACTTTTCCAATAGTGAAATGTGATTTGAAGATGAAAAATACTTTTCTAAACTATCAATAATACAAAGCAAATTTCTTTCCACCTTGCTTGAGGAAAGATAAGACTTTTTAATCTTTCTATAAAAATGATATTATACAATTGTTATATCAAGAAGTAATGAGCCCTAGCTGGTCTGGCTCAGTGAATAGAGCGTCAGCCTGTGGACTGAAGGGTCCCAGGTTCGATTCTGATCAAGGGCATTGTGGGCTCAATCTCCAGCAGGGGGTGGGCAGGAGGCAGCCGATCAATGATTCTCTCTCATCATGATGTTTCCATCTCTCCCTCCCTCTCCCTTCCTCTCTGAAATCAATAAAAAAGTACTATATATATATATATATATATATATATATATATATATATATATTTTTTTTTTTTTTTTTTTTTTTTTTTTTTTTTTTAAGAAGTAATGAAAAAGCTGGGTAGCTCATTTGGTTAGAATGTTGTCCAAATATATCCTCCCTCCCCTCCTCCCTTCTTTCTCTCTCTCTAAAATAAGTATTTTTAAAATTAAGTAACCACTAATTTGCTTTCAGTGTCTATAAACTTGCCTAATCTGGGAATTTCTTATAAATTGAATTAGATATGGCCTTTTGTGTGTGGCTTCTTAGCACAATGTCTTCAAGATTCATCTATGTTGCCCTGACTGGTTTGGCTACATTCCTTTTTTATGAGTAAACAATATTCCATTGTATGGGTAGATCACATTTAGTTTATCCAGTTATTAGATGATGTTTATTAAGCCTCCCGGGTTCAATTCTGGCCAGTGGCATATGTCCGGGGTTGTGGGCTTGATCCCCAGTGTGGGTGTGTGGGAGGCATTCAATCAATTATTCTCTCTCATCATTGATGTTTCTATTCTTGCCCTCTCTCTTCCAATCTGAAATCAATTATATATATATATATATATATATATATATATATTTAAATTTTTAATAAAAAGATTCATCTGTGTTGCAGCATGATGCGACACCGTTACTTCATTCCTTTTTATGAGTAAACAATATCCCATTGTGTGGATAGATCACATTTAGTTTATGATGGGCATTTCAAATATTTATTAATACTCCGGTTCTCGGATTCTGTAATTCCCAGCCGTGGCATGCTGTTTTGCAGTGGCAAAGCATATAAAAAAAGCTGCCTCTATGTGCCACGACTCACGTGGGTTCCTAAAACGGGGCCTGTTCTTTGGATGAGAACGCTGAGATGGAAAAACGGAGACCTTCTGACGATCCCACGGTTTATTGGAAAACCAGGGGCTAATCACTCCAGATTCAGGGGCCACTGGGCCAAACTAAGAAAGCTTGCCTTTTCGCCAAACCAGGAACTCTCCACCGCTACTGTTTCCTAGCGCCCCTCCCAGGACGGGTGAGAAGAGTCTAATCCACAGGCTCTCGGCCCCTCGCCAGTCTGCTCCCTGCTCCCCGAGTCTCCAGTGCAAGACAGCGGCTGGCGGCGTTCACATCCGTAGTCCTGGCAACCGACTGTTTCATGCCCTGCGAGTCTCAACTCTCTCGCAAAACTTGAAGTTACTGTTTTTAGAAATCTCGACACTCCGGCAAAAGAAAGTGATCGCGTGCGCGCGCGCGAGCACACACACATACACAGATCTTCCTCTCTTCAGCGCCCACAACCATGGACTATTCCTATGAAAAGTTCGAGGCCTTTTTTTTCCGTCGATGCTCCATAAGCTCCCGCTCCAGGCAAGCAGTGCCGCCTCCCGGAAGCTCTCAGCCCAGGCAGGCAGGCGGACAGACACGCGCAAGTGTGGTGAGAGCAAGCACAGGAGGCGCCTATCTTATTGTGCCGTCCCCCTCTGGGGGAGGGGTTGCCAGGGAGTCGGGGGCTGGGTCATACACATTTCTCAGATTTCCATGCCTGGGCTGGAGGTGTGGGTCAAATTGCCTTGGTTTAGAAACCTGGGAAAGGTATTCAGGCCCAGGTTCACCCCGTTTCTTCACTGGGCATCAATGCGTTTGGTATTGCCGGAGGAGAGGCATGAAGTCTTCCGTCAAAAGCGTGGTGTGGGACCAGCCCTTGACAAGGCACTACAACATCAGAGGTGAAGGAAACACAAACAGATGATTACAGAACAAAGAGTGAATGCTGGGCCAGGGCCACATCCAGGAGTAAGAGGTTTGCTAAACACGGGTGGGGAGGAACAGATGCAAGGTCCTGGAAGAGACCTCTTCACATTGGAGCTTAATAAGGAGTTCTCCAAGCCAAAAGCGGGAGGAAAGGCATTCCAGGCCTAGGGAACAGAGACCTGAGACATGGTGTCTTCGGGAAATTGCTGATAGTTTGAGTGTTGCTGGAAGTGAGAGGCAAGAGAGGTCAGAAGGGATAAGATCATGAAAGATCTTGTGAGCCGAGAGATGGAGAAGCCACTGGGAAGGGTAAGACTGGATTGGCAGACTCAGAATGTTGGGAGTGGGAGGTACTGGGAGGTGAGGAAGAAAGGCCAGACCAGCGGGTACTTACTACAGGGACTTGGGGACTGATCCGATGAGGAACAGGACAAGAGCAATCAAAAAGATGCTCAGGCTGGTAATCAGGGTGACCTGGTAGATAGAGGTGCCTTTCACAGAGCTAGGGGAGCTACTGGGAGAACCAGATTAGGTGAGGACAGGGTCATGGAGGGGGTGTGCAGGAGGCAGCTGATCGATGATTCTCTCTCATCCATGTTTTTGACTCTCTAGCCCTCTCTCTTCCTCTCTGTAAAAATCAATAAAATATATTATTTTTAAAAAGAAAAGAGGGTGGGGTGACTTTGGGTAGGGATGACTTAGGCTGAGAACTATATGCTGAGAAGGGCTCAGTCCCCGAGGAAACTTGGGGACTTCTATGCTCTTCATAGAAAGCACAGCAAATGCCCAAACTAAGAACCAAGACAGAGCTTGATTTCAGAAGAAAATTTATAGTGATAATGTTTTTAATAATGCTAATTGGACAAAAAGGAAGAAGGCCATTAGAGCTGGACCAAGTTATCAAGGGAGAAGGGAGTGGGAGGAGACGAGGAAGGTGAAGGGAACAGGCCAGCAAGGATAGTTTTGTAGGACCTTGTTAAAAGGGAGGTGTTTATTCTAAGAGCACTGAAAGCTGTTAATAAAGCCATTGGAGGGGTTCAGATGAGGGAGTGACTCTTCTGTGGTAGACCATGGATTGGGGGTCTAGATAGGGCACAAGTAGAAGTAGTGAGAGCAGTGAGGAGCATATTTTAAATGTGTCCCCATAGTCTGCAAGGTAAAGTTTAAACCCTTTAACCTGGCATTCGAGAGGACTCCAACTTTATTTCTCATTAACCTCCTCCTTCACACACAATGTGCTTGCAACTTGTGAAAATGCTGAGTAACCCTGAAATCCGCTCCCCCCGCCCTCAATGTTGCCCACACCTGTCCCTCCACCCCTTAAAATCAGACTCATTCTCAAAGATGCATGTCATGTCCCCTCTTCATGATGGGTCACTCCATCTGTGTTTCTCCTCCGGCTGAGAGCATTTCATTATCCCTCTGGCTACCCTACCTTGTTCTGTGCCAGTGCACTGCAGTTGGGCACCCAGCCTTGTTTGGATCTGCACCAGGCCAGTGCCAAGCCCTGGGAGATTATTTGTAAAAGCTGATTCGATGAATGGCTAAATTCTCAGTAGTCCTCAGCATCTTGTCCTCAAAGAAATGATAAGTGGGTTGGTGAGTAGCACTCACTCATGTCCACATTGATGTGCACTCATTGTTTTCTGACTACAAAAGGAACACGTGGGCATTGTACAGAGACTTTAACAAATGCATCACACATTCATTTTGTGTCAGACTGCACACTGGGAATGCATGGGAACCAAAACACGGTCCTTGTCACTGAGAAACTCACAGGCTGTTGGGAAGGAAAAACTCAGAACGCATCTTGACCCAGAAAAAATATGGTCAATGCAATGAGGGAGCTAAGCATGGGGGGTGTGGCAAACTAGAGGGGACACGAGGAAGGGGTTGGAAAGGCTTCAGGGAATGATGATGCTGACTCTGGAAGGGTCAGTATAAAATAATCAAGTGAAGCAGAGACAAGAGAAGAGCATTCCAGAGGGAGGAAGCAGCATGGTTTTGGGGGGAGTAGGAAGGGGTACCTGGGGAACCACAGTCAAATACAGTTTGAATATAAATACATGGTGAGGCAGAAGGAACAAGTAAGGAGAAATCAGAGAGGCTGGTAGGCCTGGATTGGACAGGTGGGGTCAGGCTTAAGAGATGGAACTTTATTCTGGAAGCTAGTTGGCAGAGGAGTTTTTGGTTTTAGAAGAAAATTTATAGTGATAATGTTTTTAATAATGCTATATCTCTTCTGAATTTTAGAGCACTCCCATATGCATTTGATCTTCAAAACAGCTTTGGGAGATAACTAGAGTAGAGTTTATATCGTTTTAGGCATAAAAAGATGGGAACTTGGCAGAAATCAGTGACAGCCTGGGATAATGGCTAAGAGCACAGCTCTGGGGCCAGGCAAACCAGAGTTCATGTCCTCATGTCCTAGCTCTGCTACTTATCATCTGTGTGATGTTGGGCCTCTCTGTGCCTTAGTGTCCTTATCTGTAAAGTGAGTATAGAGCCAACCTGTTAGGTCTGTGCCTTAGTGTCCTTATCTGTAAAGTGAGTATAGAGCCAACCCGTTAGGTCTGTCCGTTTGTCATTCACTCATTCACCAAATACTTCCTGAGCTCCCACTTGGCATAGTGGAGGTGCTAGGGCTCAAGAGGTGAGGGAGCAAAAGAGATGAGGTCCTGGTTCACAATCCATTAAAACAACAACATCAACCAATCGAACCAGGAGTTTCAAACACAAAGGTCTACCTGAACAAAACACATTAATTGATCTGTGTGTGAGACAACAGGGAATGGTGGAGACCATGGCAAGCTGGAGAGGGCATGCCCCAGCCTAAAGTAACTCAAATTGGAAAATGTTAAAGAACGTCAAAGAAAAGAAGACCCCACGCTCATTAAGCACGAGGGCTGCCAGTGCAACCCTTCATTTACATACTTGTGATAAGTGGTCTGAAGGAAAAGTGTGGGTTGTGTTATGCAGAGGTAACATGGGGATATACCAGAGCCTCGGAGCCGGAGAGGTGACATTTGGTCTGAGATCTGGAGGATGAGGAGGAGTGAAGAGGGGATGGATGGGGGAAGGAGAATTCCTGGCAGAGGGAACAGCATGTGCAAAATCCTTGGGCAGGAAGCAGCTTAGATCATTCAGGGATCATTCATAGAAGCAACGGTCTTGGGACATAGGAAGGAAAGCTGAGCAAATACTGAGGCAGGAAAGGCTGGCAGAGAAGGGTCATAGGATCTTACTTTGGAAAGTCATGGAAGGGTTTCAAAGTGGGCGAAGGGTGAGCACATAACAAAATAAAGGCATGCTACTGTGAACAAAGCAACTCCAAAATAGACTGATTCCAAACATCTCCACCATCGGTAAGTAGGTGCCATCCCCGGTTTACACATGAAGAAATTGAGACACAGCGAGGCTAAGGGACTTACCTAAGATCATGTTGCCAGAAGTGGCAGGGCCAGGACCCAGACTGGAGCATTCTGGCTTCAAGGCCTCTGCTCTAAACAGCACTATGCTGCTTTGGATGACCATAGCAGGTAAGAATGGCATTTGAAAAATATCGTTCTGATTACCAATTAGGAGTGGAGTAAGAGTAGAATCCAAGCCCTAGCCAGTTTGGTTCAATGGATAGAGTGTCAGCCTGTGGACCAAAGGGTCCCAGGTTTGATTCCGGTCAAGGGCACTTACCTTGGTTGCAACACACACACACACACACACACACACACACACACACACACACAGCCGCGCCTGGGCTCTCTCATGGTGATGTTTCTCCCTGTCTTTCCCTCTCTTCCACTCTCCCTAAATATCAATGGGAAAATATCCTTGGGTGAGGATTAACAGCAACAACAAAGAGTAGAATCTGAGACAATTAAATAAGAGAAAGCTCACAAAGCCCTTAGCATAGTGCCTGCGTTTGGAGTGCCTGGTCACGTTACATGTAACTCTCTTCATCGTTATAGGAAGACAAGGATAGAGCTGGGCCTGGAACCCAGGTGCCCCGGGGCCCAACCTGGTGCTAAAGAGTCTTTCTTTCCTGACTCCTTTAGTCCTCTTCCTGAAAGGAACTCACTTTTTAATGATCTTCCCCCAAGGATACAGCTATTCGGATAGTGATGAAAATCTCAGCAGGGATCAAGTCTTCAACCCCGAACTGGTCATTGCCCACTGCTTCAAGCAGTTCAAACAGAAGGACTTCCATCTGCCTCCAAGCCGCCGGCGGATCATCATCTTGCCTCAAGAGAAATATGCAACTCCGGTGGATCCAACACCACAGCCCCAGGCTCCCACACAAAGCATCCCCAGCTTCAAAGCCCTGGAAGTCAGGGACATCCCAGAGCCCCCGGAGGATGTGAGAACCTGGATGAGCCAGAGGTTGAAATGTCGGCAGGAACTGGAGACATTTGGCAACATAGACAGGTGGCTGCAGAACAAGTGCAGCCTCACGCGTTCGGAGGCCAAGATCTTACGCAGGACCCACGAGGAGCAGCCTGTGGCCCCGTTGATGGTACACTTTGTTCCTCCCACCCCCGCCAAGGTGAGCAGCCCCATTTGCCAGATGAGGGTATGAGAGGCAGGATGGGGATCGTTCACCCCATTTAGCAGAGCACCAAACAGAAGTCCTTAAACGGAGGTGCATGAGTTACCTATTGCTAGGTAACAAATACCCCAAAATGACTTAGAGCAGCAAGGGCTTATTTTCTCACTCTTTATGCGAGTCAGGAAGCTGGGAGGAGCTTAGCTTGGTGGCTCTCGCTTCGAGTCTTTTCATCTCGAGATGCTGGTGGGGGCCACAGACATCTGAGGCTTATCTAAGGGTGGGACGGTCCGCTTCGAAGCAGTTTGCTCACATGGCTGCTGGCAGGACGCCTCAGTGCCTAGCCACTTGGACCTCTCCATAGGGCTGCCTGAGTGTCCGCACCGCACGGCAGCGGCCTCCCCCAGAGTGAAAGGTCCAAGAGAAAACAAGGAGGAGGCTGCAGTGCCTTCTATTACCTGTCTCAGGAGGTCTGAGTCTCAACAGCTTCGCACCGTTACCTCTCTATTTGTCAGAAGCAAGTCACTAAGTATTGCCTCCATGGAGGGGAGGGGAATTAGCCTCCATCTCAGAGGGGTAGAGAGCTGAAGGATTTGGGGCTATATTTTAAAACCACCCCAGGAGAGAGAATGACTTGACAGTTTGCTACAGGCCAATGAATAGGTGTGGGTCCCAACCCTCCTGGAGCACAGAGGAGCTGTGAGCTAGGGAACAGGAAGGCCCTTTGTAAACTGCCAGGTGCTGCAGCAAGGTAAGGGAGTGCTATTTCTAAATTTTCCCACTCACCTGGAATTGGAGGAGGAGGAGGATTTGGATGGGTAGAGAAAGAAGGGAAGGCATTTACTTAGGCAGAAGGCCCAGTTGGAGTAAAGGCCGGGAGGTGGGAGACTTAGCTTCAAGCAGGAGCAAGTATTTGGGTGCACTGAGAGCCCAGCGGGATTATAATACTGACTTGTCTGACCAGAGAGATGTGGATAAGAATAAAATTTTAGTTCTCATATTGCTCAAGCCTCTTGTTTCTGGTGGGAAATGAAGGCCCCCCCAAAGCAAAGTCTCCCAGGAGTTCTGTGGCAGAATGCAATTGTCCTGCGGTTGCCTGAATCTAGTGTCCTATGCACTTCATCTTGCTGTCTGTTTAGAGCTGCTCAGCCTCCCCCTCTCCCATTTCTCCCTCCCTAACTCTGGGGATCATATTCCATTGGCCTGTCTCCTCTGAACTCCCTTCTGTCCCACTTGCTTGCCTCGTTCAGAAGAAAAGCCTCCGACGCCACCACCTCCGTTTGCCCCAGCTCCGACTGCCCAAGCCCTCTGCCCTATTTACCTTTTACTCCTTCCTGCGCGGCCGCAATCTGAAGATTCTGGATATATTTGCCAAGGTGGACCTGAGCAATAACCAGACGATCTCCAGGGAGATGTTCATTACGGCGCTGAAGGTGGTAAGTACCTCCCGTGCTCCCTCTAGGCTGGCCTAAGTGGGGAGGGTGTCTATGCTGCCACCCCGGGTCCAGCATAAGGAGTCTCCAGAAAAGGAGACTTAGGGAACTCAAACTATCAGTCTTATCATTTGTAAAGCCAGATGGGAAAATGCAGCCACATCAAACCCCGAAAACCACCCCCGCACTGGTCTGACCTTGAAAGTCTGAGTGGAAAGTCTGCAGAGCTGGCCCCATAGTCAGCCAGCTGCCCATCAGACCCCTGACTTGAGCACTTCAGCCCTGCCTCTAGAACCTTCTAGAGCTTTTCCAACCGTCGCTGGCATATGAATCACATAGAATCATATAGTCTTTTATGAAAATGCAGCTTCTATTTGACCTAGTAACCCCACTTCTAGGACTATATCCCAAGAAACCAGAAACACCAATCAGAAAGGATATATGCACCCCTATGTTCACTGCAGCACAAATTCACCATAGCTAAGATTTGGAAACAGCCCAAGTGCCCATCAGCAGATGAGTGGATTAAAAACTGTGGTATGTCTACACAATGGAATACTATGCTGCTATAAAAAAGAAGGAACTTTTACCATTTGCAACAGCATAGATGGAACTGGAGAGCATTATGCTAAGCAACATAAGGCAGTCGGAGGAAAATATCACATGATCTCACTCACATGTGGGATATAGTGATCAACATAATTTGATGAACAAGAATAGATCCAGAGACAAATGATAGGGGAGGGGGGGTGGGTTAGAGAGCAACCAAAGGATTTGCATGCATATTAACATAACCAATGGACACAGACACTGGGGCGGGAGGGTCTTGCCCAGGATGGGAAAGGCTGGGGTGGGGGAGGTCAACTGGGGAAAAAAAAGACCTATGTAAAACTTTAGACAAAATAAAATTACTAAAATTAAAAGAAAAAAAATGCAGCTTCTGACTCTATCTCTGTGCGTCTTTCAGTGATGTCCTTGGTACTAGACCACAATTTCATTGGCTATTCAAAATATAAATTGGAAGGGGGTTCTTTCAGAAGAGAAAGTAAATAAAGATAAAAAATTATGAACAACAAATACGTAACTATCAACAAGCGAATCCAAAAACCAAGGAAATTTTAAAAAATCTGATGAACAATATTAACGTTTGAATATAATAGAGTCAGAGGTATGGAAGGGGAGTGAACTGACGATTCTTGGGGAAAAGGGGAGAGGGGGATGTGGAAAGAGACTGAACATAGACTGTGCACCTATGGATGGGGACAATGGGGAGTGGGGAGGGGGCGGAGGGTGGGGTGGGAATCTGGTGGAGGAGAGCATGGTGGGGTGGGGGGAAGGAACATTTGTAATAATATGAACAATAAAAACTTAAAAAAAACCCACATAATATAAATTGGGAAAGGCTGGGGTGGGGATGGTCAATTGGGGAAAAAAAAAAGACATATGTAAAACTTTAGACAAAAAAAAATTACTAAAATTAAAAAAAAAAAATGCAGCTTCTGACTCTATCTCTGGGCAGCTCCCAGTGATGTCCTTGGTACTAGACCACAATTTCACTGGCTATTCAAAATGTATATTAATTATAAGTAAAATTAAAAGTCCAGTCCCTCAGTCTCACCAGCTACATTCTGAGTTCTCAATAGTCGCATGTGGCAAGCAATTTCTCTACTGCAACACACGGATTGAGAGCATGTCCATCATTATAGACGGTTCTATTGGTTGTGCAGGGGCCTGCTAGCTATGGCCCCGGAGTCAAATCCAGACTGCTTCCTGTTTTTGTAAATAAAGTGCTATTGGAACACAGCCACACTCATTCATCTACAGATTGTCAGGGCTGCTTTCATGCTATGACGGCAGAGTTGAGTGGTTATGACAGAGACCATATGGCTCATGGAGCCTAAATATTTACTATCTGGCACTTTATAGAAAAAGTTTGCTGAATTAAGCTTTTATATACTTCAAATACAAGGTACCTTATAAAATAATTCTAGAAAGCTGATGTCACACCTTTTATGATTTTAAATCATTACAGTTTTCACATTATTTTATGACATGTACTTATCTGAACACTTCAAAGCATTAAATACAACAAAAAGATAAATTGTTTTTAATCATTGCCAAGATAACAAACCATTAAATATTTTCATACTTGGAGAGTTCTGATCTGCTTTATAAAAAGCTCAATAATAATGACTGCTATCTAAAGAAGCTGAAGAACAAAATTATATTCCTTTTAAAATATTTCTTCTTGAATATTTGTTATGGCTGTGCTCCTGCAAAGTTGCTCATTCCTTTTAAAGAGTAGTATGTATCATATTTTTTATCCTATTTACCCTCAGTTAAGGGAGGCCTATATGTCCCTCTTGGGCAAGGATGATAGACATGTGAACTCCTCCTTCAAATCTATCATGGGAAAGCTGGCATTGGGAAGTCAGGTGGGAGCCCAGAATAAGACATAACAGATTCTGCAAAGAAAGATGGTGTCATATCTGGACTGGGTTTTGAAGAAGGGATACAAATTTTTTTCAGGCTTTGAAAGGGAAGCATCTGAGTAATGGCAAGGCTGAGAAATTGCAGGATGTGTTTGCAACCAGGAAAGGGCTCTGAGCTCTTGAGGCCGGGACCGTGGAGCTGGGAATGGCTGTGGATAAAACCAGACTAAAAGGCAGGGCCAGGCTGACAAGGCCTTGGCCATTCTGATAGGATATCTGGATCGGAGCCTGTCCAACTTGGGGCTTCTCTTCTCTCTTCAGCTTGAAGTCCCTCTGAAATACCAGGAGATAGAGGATGTTGTGATCTACCTCAGCTCTCTGGGGAAGCACAACAAAATCACCTTGGATAGCCTGCTCAACACCTATAAGCAGTGGGCCTTTGGCCAGCCGAAAAGCAAGATGATAACTGCAAAGGATTGTACGTATCCAACCCCACCCCAGTGCCTTCACTTCCCCAGACTTGGAGCAAGCATGGTAGAGGCAGCCTTGGCTCATTTCCTTAGTGTGTTCTCCCAACTTTGGCTTACTGTAGGTAGGCGAAGCCTCTGGAATTTCCAGGCCCAGAGGTCAAATAAGGAGTAGATATTTTCTCAAGTGCCAAGTTACCTTGTCCATTAAAAGCTGGATGAGGTCCCAGTCCTTATCTTTAAGGGATGATTATCAAAGGGGTGGTTTCAGCCCACCAAAGCCCATTTGATAGGCTGAGAACCCAATGCCAAGCCTTTCTATTTGTATGTGGGTCCAAGGCCTTCTTACTACTAATCTGCACCTTATTGATAAAAAACAAAAACAAAAACAAAAAAACAAACAAACAAAAAATTAACTAAATTCAGAAACCAGAATTAGCACATGTTTAGAGTCTACTTTGGTACTCTATTCTGGACTGGGTTTTGAAGAAGGGATACAAGTTTTGCACTGGGTGTGCACAGTTAGGGTTCCATTTGCCAAGCCATGTGCTTCTAGAGTACATCTGTCCATACGCACAGAGACAAGTTAGAAACGTACTTGCCATAGCTCTGGATATGAATTTACAACACAAAGGTGAATTGTGCTTCTTTATAACTTAGTTATTGGGAAAAAAAAAATTCAACAGCTATAGATGATATTAAAGCCCTCCTTTAACCATCTCCCACCATTCCAGAGCCCTCCCCAAATATAACCACATCTTTCTTTTTCTAAATTATGCCAATCTTGCTTTGCCCCCACCTACCAGGTTAGCAGGAACTTAATTCCAGACATATTTAAGGAGGAGAAGCTCCTCGTCCTCCCCAAGGCCATGTAAGGTCATGACCTTGGGGTAGTGGAAGGGGTTCCATAGGTGATTTAAGCAGTGCCTCTGGAGTCCCCAGTCACTCTGAGCTGCGTGCTCAGTCTCCTCACTGGCTGGTTCTTTTGAGGACAGCAGGCAGCTCCCGAGAACATCCATTCCTCAGTCCGCTGGAGTGTCACAGCGCAGCATGCAGATTTCTGACCTCTAGTCTCAACAAGCCACTGGGCAGAAGCACCGTCACTCCCAGGCAGGGTCCCAGGACACCTGAGCTCCCCCATAATTGCCTCTTGGGTGTCATCACCCCCACAGTAGTAATTTCTCGCACCTTTCATGTCCAGCACACCCTCAGGGTCCCCTTAAGTTGGGAGTGCTTTCTAACCCGTGCTCTTTTAGCCTTTTCATTATAAATCACCAAAGCTAATTGTTTTCCACCTAGTGGGCTGCAAGTCATTGAGTGAATGACCCCAGTATGCCGTGATACATATTTGCAGCAAAGGTATTTGGGGCCTATTATTTACCAACTGATCAGCCCGGCAGTCAGGAGCCCTTGGGGGATGTCCGACTGACGGGGCATGGGCCCAGTCTGTCAGTTGGATATCCTTAGCACTGCTGCAGAGGCGGAAGAGGCTCCCACTACAGTCACTGTGCTCACCAGTCATGAGCCCAGCTTCTAGCTGAGTGGTGCTCCCCGTGAGAGCGCACTGACCACCAGGGGGCAGCTCCTGCATTGAGCAGGATCAGGCTGAAACCAGCTCTCCGATATCCCCTGAGGGGACCCAGATTGAAAGAGGGTGCAGGCCAGGCCGAGGGTCCCCACATGATCAGGACCAGGGAGGGATGTGGGAGGTTGGTCAGCCAGGGAGAGAATGCAGGAAGGCTTCAGGGCGTGTCCAGCCAATCTTACTGAGTCCCCAATCAGCCAGACCTCAGCAGCAAGCTAATCTACCAGTCAAGAGTGTCTACCCCCTGGTGGTCAGTGCAAGTAGTTGAGTAGCCTTAGCATATCATTAGCACGATGCTTTCATCCGTTGAACAGATGATCGGATGACCAGACACTTAGCATATTAGGCTTTTATTATACAGGATAAGCAGACTTGAAGCCAAGCAACAGGTATTTGCTTAAACGGTGCTAAACAGTGCTATCACACTTGTCATAGCTAAGTTCTTTTTCTTTGGAGAGCTGCAGTAAGTAGGGTAAGCAGACTTGGGAGTCACTTGCTTTGCCCAAAGGGGCAGCAGGGGCCAGAGTCTAGGCCCTTGGCTCACAAGAGAGAAAGAAGATGATAGCATCTAGGGGCACCCTCTGTAAGCTGGGTAGCTTTATCTACAGCATTAGCTCAATTTATCTTTTAAGTCCCTGGATGACAGGGCTGTTATTCATGCTTTTCAAGGAAGAAGCCAAAGCTCAGAGAAGCTGACCACCTGTCCACTTTCTCCAAACCAGAAGGTGGTAGGGCCTGGATTTCAGCCAGGGACGATGCAGGCCTGAAGCAGGGCAGGGGAAATACTATGCTCTCATTCATTTAGATCTTTGTTGAACACCTACTATGTGCTAGACTCTTCTAGGAATTAGAAAGATAGCAGTGAAAAAGCCAGTACCCCTGCCTTCAAATAGTTTCCATGTAAATGTTAACCAAGATGATGTTCAGTAATGATTAATGCTTTGAAGATGATTGTGTGTGTGTGTGTGTGTGTGTGTGTGTGTGTGTGTGTAGGAGGAGGAGGAGGAGGAAGAGGAGGGGTGGTCAGGGACGGCCTCTTTGAAAAGCAGCCATCAGAGCTGACACTTGAGTGACTGACTGATGAGGAGCCAGCCTGGGGAAGAGCATCCTGGGACAGGAAAGTCCCTGAGATAGGAAAATCTTCAGGGGACAGAAAGAAATGGGGGGCGGGGCCTGGGTTGGAGTAAGTGAGGAGTGAGCAGTAGGAAATGGGTCAAGTGGACAAGGTATATGGTTAGCTGAACCCAAATCCTCCCAAGCCTTGCAGACCACGGAGAGGATTTTGGGTTTCAGTGTAAGTGCTGTGTAAAGACAGGAGTTCTAATCAGGGGAATGAAGGGATGCAATTTATATCTTTTAAAGGTCCTGTTTGCTGTTTGGTGAAAACAGGATGCTAGGGAATAAGAACAGAAACAGGAAGGCTGAGGCCGTGGTACAGGTGAAGAAAGAGCCTTCTTGTACCAGGGAGGCCATAGTAGAGATGGAGAGAAGGGACACCTTCAAGGTGTATCTCAGATGGCACTGACTGAACACATGGGATATGAGCAGAGGGATGTTCTGGCTCTTGCGTGGTGACATTGGTTCACTGCTTGATGGATTCCATGGCTGAGCACCCTCTCAGTCCCTCCTTTGTCTCTTCTCTCCAGCCTTCCTTAAGGTTTCCACGTCTAGAGTTTTGTCACAGCAGCTGTCCAAGAAGCAGGCGACTTTTCCCCCCAAAACTCCCAAGATGGACCATCTGAAGGTGCCTATAGTTAACACCAAGATGGAGTCAAGGCCCTTGACCCTGGAGGAGATGGAAGATATTGGCAAGCGGTATCGGCAGAGGAAGCGGCAGGCCAAGGTACCCCAGCCAAAGTGGGAGGACATGGGTCAAATCTCTTGCACCTGCAACACCTTCTAGCTGGTGGGACTTGGGAGCATATGCTTTAGCTTTCTGTTTCCTCATCTGGATAATAAGAACAATACCTACCTCACAAGATTTTTGTGAAAATGAAATGAGATGATGTTTCTGAAAATACCAGGTTCCTCTCCTCCCATTCTTTGTTGTTGTTAATCCTCACCTGAGGATACTTTTTCAGAGAGAGTGGAAGAGAAGGAGGTGGAGGTAAGAGAGAGAAATATTGATATAAGAGAGACACATCAACTGGTTGCCTCCCCCTTGTGCCCCAATGAGGGCAAGGAGAGAACCTGAAACCCAGGTATGTGTCCTTGACAAGGAATCAAATCCAAGACCTTTTGATGTGCCCAGACTGGCTCTATAACCACTGAGCACACTGGCGAGGGCCTTTTTTAAGATAGATTTTTAAAGATTTTTTTTTTTATTGATTTCCGAGAGAGGGAGGGAGAGGGAGAGGGAACTAGAAACATCAATGATGAGAGCAAATCATCATTGGCTGCCTCCTGCATGCCCCCTATTGGGGACTGAGCCTGAAACCTGGTTATGTGCCCTGACTTGGAATCAAAACACCACCCCCTAGTTCATGGGTCAACACTGAACCACTAAGTAACACCAGCGGGGCTCTTTCTTTTTTATTTTTTTAGATTTTTAATCGATTTTTAGAGAGAGAGAAATATTGATGTGAAAGTGGGACATTGATCATCTGCCTCCTGCAATCCCCCTGATAGGAATTAAGCCTGAAACCTGGGCATGTGTTCTGACCAGGAATCTAATCAGCAAGCCTTCAGTGCATGGAATGATGCCCAACCAACTGAGCCACACTGGCTAGGGTCCCTCCTCCCATTCTTTAATTATGACATTGCATCCTGAGGCTAGGCCTGTGTGTTCATCACAGTGGGAATCCAAGAGCCTGGTATGGGGTGTGGCACTGAGTAGGCCCTCCACATGTACATGGCCAGTAATGGAAGGAAGAATTGATTGCCTGAATTAATTCAGCCAATGAATATTCATTGACAGTCTGTGATATCCCAGACACTCTTCTACATGCTGCAGACAACAAAACAGCCTCTCTAGAACCTGCCAGTCTAGAAAGTTTAGCCATGGAGGCAGACAATCCTATCTAATAAAGAGGGGATTGCAAATTGACCGTCATGCCACCACAAAGATGGCGGCACCCAGTCCCCTCAGCCACGCCAGAGTCCCCCAGTCCTTTCAGCCCTGCCGGGGGTAGGGGGTGATGGCAGGCATTTGGTGTGGCTGAACCTGCCCTCAGCCCTTCAGCCACCCAGGGCCAACCCTAGGCATAGGCAAGCCTATGATATCAGCTGCCCAGTCACCCAGGGCTGGCCCGAGGCACAGGCAAGCCTCGGATGGCAGCTGCCTAGTCTCCCAGGGCTGCCTGAGACTCAGGTAACCAGGGCCGGCCTAGGCTTGTGCTGCCAGCAGTGGCTGCAGCAGAGATGTGATGGGGGCATCACGTTCCCTTGACTCTCAGATCGCCTCCCACCCCTGAGAGCTCCTGGACTGTGAGAGGGGGCAGGACGGGTTGAGGGACCCCCCACCTTCAGTGCATGGATTTTCATGCACCAGGCCTCTAGTATTAATATAATATTACACATAGATACATATTTTAATGTATTTACATTAAAATTTATCATTTACATAATAAAATGTTAGGTATTGGTAAATGCTATACCAACTAAGATATATATGATTCAGTTGCATGACAAGAAAACCCAAAATGTTAGAACAGTGAGTGGCAAACTTTCCTAGGGCCAGATAATAAATGTTTTAGGCTTTTGGGGCCCTATTGCCTCTGTTGCAACAAGTCAGCTCTGTCACTGGAGCACAAGTGCAGCCACAGACCACCTCTAAACAAATGGGTGCAGCTGTGTTTCAATAAAACTTTATTTCTAAAAACACGTGGTGGCCCAGATTTGGCCTGTAAGATGTACTTTACTGATTCTGGCTTTAAAAGTTTTAAAAAGATAGATTTTTTCTTTCTTTCTTTGTAAATAAATAAATAAGAAGGCCAAAAGTGGCTACACACTGCCCAGGCCTCTTCAAAGTCACAGATGGCTGCAGGTAATTTAAAAATCTCATGTATGCATTGTTTCAGTAGGACACATGTGGGGCATTTGCACTGAATATATTATATCATCAAGTGTGCTCATCTGTATAACAGCCGCAGGTGCTGACCAGGTGTGATTTTTCTCCCCAGCTACTGACTTCAAAACCTGAACTTGGGTCCCACTGTGCATTCTTTGCCATTGCCCCTCAAGGTGACCTTGTGTAGAAACATAGATTGCCAGCCTTCAGGCCAGGAGGAAAGAGGCAAGGTGAAGGGAAGGGGGTGCCGATTACTTTTCTCTTTGCAGCTCACAATCCCCTCCATCCAGTACACGGAGCAGTGCCGCCTGGTGCGCAGTGGGAATAAGCACTTTGATAGCCACTGCCTCCCGTCCACCATTCCCGGGGAGATGGGCGACCGCCTCAACCTGTTCCGGAGGGACACCTTTCTCGTGTACCTGAAGTGCCAGAAGGCCTGTCAGTACTACGGCCTCCAGCTGTCCGAGGACGTCCTCATAAAAGGTAAGGGCCTCGGGGGCTGGCCCCAGAAAGATGCTTCAGATGTTCGCCTGAGGTTTGTCCCTCCCCCAGATGACATGCGCCCAGTCAAGCTGCGGTAACCTGTGGTGGGGGCATTGCTGTTAGGCGGGAGTTTTAGAATCCTGTAGCTCCACAAGTTCCAAAAGCCTGGAGGTCTGGGCTCCCCGACTGAGCTTGGGGAGCTGGCATTCTAGAGGACAGGAGTTCTGAGCAAAAGAGCCCTGAAGTTGAGGGTAAAGGAACAGTCTCAATTTCCAAGAGGGAGACTTGATAGAAGTGACAACTGCTGTGCTGTATTGGGTGTTTCCAACACCACCTCCCTAGCCAGGCCCCTTATTTGGTCCTTCTGCAGCACCGAGGTAGGAGTGCACCAGGCAGGAGTCAGGTTCTGCTGAGGCCCTTTGCTCCCTGCTCAGACATCAGCACTCAACCCTGAGATTTCCTTACTGGTTCCACCCTGTGCTTAGGGGAAGAATTGTGTTTTCATATATCCAAACACACCTGAACCCTCCACGTCTCCGAGTAGAATGTGTGCTTCTGAGAGATATTTCCATGATAACCACAGAGCAATGCTGGCACCCCGGATTGATGATTTTGTAAATTTAATGGGCAGGTTCCTCTCTGCGCTTAGAAAACATGAACAGCGAGCTGCATGAAGGCACAGGTTTTCCCATAGGAACTTTGCAGAAGCTGTGACCGTACGGGGAACTGGAAAATAAGGTTTGCTGAGAAAGGGCACACAGAGAGACTCTCCCAAGAACAAGAGTTAACAGTCACATCTGGCTGGGTAGCTCAGTTGGGTAGAGCGTCGTTCCCATACACCAAGATTGTGGTTTGATCTCTGGTCAAGGCATATATAGGAGGCAGCCAATGAATGCATAAATCGATGGAGCAGCAGATCCATATCTATCTATCTCTCTCTCTCTCTCTCTCTCTCTCTCTCTCTCTCTCTCTCTCTCTCTCTTTCCTTTCTCTCTCTCTGTTCCTGTCAGCAGACATTAAGCAACTACTGATTCTCTCCACTGCTGGCTTCTGCTAGCTCCTGGGTCTGTGAGCTTCCTCTGTTGCCAGGATCTCACATTCAGGGGTACACAGGAGCATCTGTGGATGCGCTGCCTCTTGCCTTTGACTGACCTAGATGAAAAAGACTCTAGTTCCACCTGTGACTAGAGCCGCTGTGAGGACTGTGGGAAGAAAGAAGGAAAGGAGGGGAAGAACAGCTCAGCCTGTTTTGCTCTTAGATGGGATTTCTAGAATACGAGATCGAGGTGCACAGGTCCCACTGCCCTGGCCACTGTCTGTTGGCTATCTTTAGGCAGGGGCCTGCTCAGCTATAGACAAAGAAGCACAAGCACCTAGATTTCTGAGTCTGTTCGCCTAGAACGTGGTGACTGCAGCCTCCAGGTCTCACACTGATGGGCCAGGATTCTAGGACACGGAGGCATTTTCCCTCTCCCCAGTGAATATATTATAGCTTCATTGTTTTTCTTCCCTCTTATTTTATAAATACTTGGTCACTTAAATTTTCTTGAAAACATAAAAATAAAAATCCTACTCCAGCCTGAGTTGACCACCATTAATATTTTAGTGATTGTCCTTTCACAAACTTATTTTTATTTTCCATTTACACAACATTATTAATGTAAATCTATTCTAAAATCATGTATGTACTTTTAATGTATTTTTAAAACCCAATATACTTTTTTTTTTTGGAAGAGAACATTTATTGGGTAAATTACAGAGGTAGAAAAGGTAATTCCTAGAAGAAACGGGCTTAGCAAGCAAGTTATAGAGGTAAAGGAAGGGCCCTTAGACCTTGGAAGTGAGGAAGCTAATGGTAAGGTGTCTGGGGCCGGGCTGGGGAGAGGGAGGAGGGAAAGGTGGGAGCATGCTCCCTGGAGGGAGAGCACCCTATATACCCGTTTAAAGTGCTGGTGCTACATACCCCCTTCCCTCTTCCCCTTTCTCACCTGCATATCCCTGCCCCACCCAGAAATAACAACATTAATAACCAGAGTGTAACCTTCCACTCATTTTTCTAGTACTTGAGGTCTTTGGGTGTTATTAACTTTTTTTTAAAATTTATTGATGAGAGAGAGAGAGGAGAGAGAGAGAGAAAGAGAGAGAGAGAGAGAGAGAGAGAGAGAGAGAGAGAGAGAAACCGAATTGTTGCTCCACTTATTTATGCATTCATTGGTTACTTCTTGTATGTGTCCTGACTGGGTGTAGAACCAAAAACCTTGGCATATGGGGATGATGTTCTAAATAACTGAGCTATATACTAGGCCAGAGCCCCAGTGCTACCACCTTAGGACAAGCACTGCTCCGTGGTGGCAGGAAGATGTAGACTCTGGCCTAGTCTTTTTAATGTGCTGCACTTCTTAGAAAAGCCTCCCAAGGTTATCTGTGAGACTAACTCTAGGTAAAGAGAAACTGCCATCAACTAGGTCTGAGCCAACCTCGTGAAGCCTCCGGTAAGTTCTCCACACACACCTCTTCCTGGGACTCCTGACAAGGACACCCCTTTAGAGTGTGTGGCCTCATGCTCTATCCTAATACACCCCAGCCCCGGGGCCATTGCCAACCCTTAACTCTAATCCAGTTAGCCGTATTTTGCCAACTCCATTTTCTGATCTTGCAGTAATTACAGGCATACCTTGGAGATATTGCATGTTCTGTTCCAGACACTATGATAGACGCAATATCCCAATAAAGCAAGTCATAATCTATTTACTGGTAAAGGGTTTTGCTTTCCATTTGTTAAAAAAAAAAAAAAAAAGTACCACCTGTGAAGTGAAATAAAACAAAATGCAATAAAACCAGGTATGCCTATATATGTCACGTCATGGTTGGAGGGTAGGGGACCGTCTGCACTATTTTTGCAATTTACTTTTAATCTACAATCATTTAAAATTTTAAAGTTAAACCATGTATGTAAGAAAAATATTTTTAAACAAAAATGTAAATTTATTATTATTTTTAAAAGCCCTTCTCTGCCCTGAAACCTCAGGTGTGTGGGGTGGGGTATTGGGCTGACAAGCCATGTTTCTCTTGCTGCTCACAGCCCTGCTATACCCAGGGGACAAGATCATTTCCCAGATGGACCAAGTGCGCCCCATCCGGCAGCCAGGAGGCTACTACTCGGACCTTATCCCCGGCTCAACTCCAGCCCTGTTCAAGGCCCTGTGCTCCAAAAAGTCTATGGCTAAGAAGATGGACAAGCTGAGTGTCAGACCCACCCCCCTTCCCCCTTCCCTCCTGCTTTGCTGCTATCCATCAGCTACAGAAGCTGAGATGCTGACTTACTTGGGATGTCATATTGTACCAGTGTCTCTGCCTTAACCCTGTATGTCCAATCGAGTCACCAAGCCTGACTAGTCTCCAGTGGCCCCTCCGTCCCCCCCCTCCCCCCAGCATATGTCTGAGGTCTACAGCCACCTCACCTCACTCCCACATAGCTACCATCCTGGCTGCATCCTACATGATCTCACGCTCTCTGGAAAAGATGAAAACGAGAGCCTTCTTAGAGAATCGGGAGGCTCCTCACCAATCATGGACCCAGTGTCATGAGTGCTGGCAGAGCACAGCCCCTTCCCCTGCCCCACCTTCTCTGGCAAGAAGGGGCTTACAGCTCCTGGAAGGAGAAAGGAACTCTGCACTGGGTACTGTCTGACTCTCAGGTTAATTTGAGTCCTCTCCAAAAAAAATGCCCTTCTTGACCCCCAGGAGCATGCCCACAGCTTTCTTCCCTCTAAGGCGTGCATCTCCTAAACATGAAGAGTCCCCATGAGACTCACAACCAGGGAGCACTGGGTAGTGGCAGTTCGTCCCAGGCTAAAGCCCTGAACCTGTTTCCGATGGCCCTTTCTCTGACTTTCCAGTCAGCCAAAGCAGTCCCACGTAGGCTCTCTCCTGTTGCTTCTTACTAGTGTATCCTAAGGCCTTCCTTGTTTCACTGTCTCTAGGTTTAATAAATATACTCTCAAAAGAAAAGAAAAAAAGACAATCTCCTTCTTTGGAAGGATGTGAAACTTGGCAGGTGATGAGCCAGCTACCATGGTGACTGCAGATTGGAGAATAAGCAGAATCCTGCAGAGGGAGGGGGCCAGCATGGGAGAAGGAGGGTTCAGATGACTGGAGGGGGAGGGGCCTAGGATCTTCCCATACTCTGGATGCGGGCTAGCTGCTCCACTGGGGTGGTATGGACAGAAGGGCTGGGGTGGGATGCCGCAGAGCTGAGTGGCAATCAGACAGGCTTCGGATAAGATGGGCAAATTACTTCACTGAGTATCAGCCTCTTCATCTGTAAAATGGGCATAATAGCTCCTACTATACACAATGAGAACAAGAGAAAAAATCCATGCAAAGTTCTTAGCATGGTGTTTGGCAGATAGTTGGTTACTCAGGCAATGACTGCTGTTGTCAATATGTTCTCAAGTGCAAGAGTGGCCTTGGCCTGCAGGTGGGCCCTGCCCACACTCTGGTTGGGAAGAAGTAAGCATGAGCCAGGCAGGTAGCAGTGGCCTAGAAGGCCCTTTCTGGTCCTGAACCGAAAACCTAGGAAGTGGTGGGAACTTGAGAACAGGACTCTTGTCCATGCTTAGGGAGGCCACACATGTAAAGGATAAAGAAAGATTACCTAGGCCTGGGATGGGCATTGAGTTGGTGTTGCTACGTACTTAGACTGTATTGTGTTAAGATTCTGAGGCCAAATGCAGGCTTGCTGGGGAAGAGTGCTGTGGTTGATTAGTGATGTCTGCCAAGCCCAAGGTTTGGAGAGTTGGTGTTTACCATCCTTATCTCCAAGGCTGGATTCAGCTGAGGCAGGGAAAATGGAAGCTGGGGGCCCAGAAATGATTCAGATTATCGAGCATCTCTCATAACTAATCTCCATTCTGGAAAATTAGAAAACTGAGGTTTTAAAAGGGGAAGTGACTTACCCAGAGTCGCCCAGCCAGCTGGCTGACCCAACCCCACTATATATTCCACTGGAGTTTGGGAGGACAGAGTTAGGGCCCCAAACCAAATAGGAAAAAATTCTTCTCCTTTCAAAGCTCTGGTTTAGATTCAGAGGTGGACCCATCCTGAGGCCTCCAACTTACTCCCTGAGACCCCACAAACCCGGATTTACCCTCTCCTGACTAGATACCTCTCTCTCTTATCCACTAGGAATCAGCCAAAGGAAATGAACTTTGAAGAGTTTGAGAAATTCGCCAGGTCTGTACAAATCATCTAACTCTGGATTGGGGGTAGATGGGAGGAGGTCTATCCTCAATTTATGGAGGTGCCTGGGGCTCTTCATGTTCTGTGGTGCTCTTAGCTCGGCATCTGGGGCTCAGTGCCTAAGAGCTGAGAGGCAGGAAAACAACTGCAGTATCAGGAAGACTGGGTGCTCTCCATGTGTTAACTCACTTCAGTCCTCTCAACAAACCCAATTTACAGAAGAGGAAACCGAGGAACAGAAAATTTCTTATTAAAGTCACACATCTGTTAAAGAGGTGGAGCAGAGATTTGTGAGAAATGGCTCACCTGTCCAATTTTCAAACGACAGACTAGGAAACAGAAGCATGGCAAAAACGAGATTTTTAATAACACTCTTGAGAGAGTGCCATTTTACAGGATCACACGTGAGGAAAGGAACATCGCCTCATGTATTGAGACCTCCTCCGGTTCCTCATTGGCTGAGGACTATTTGGTCACCTGTTTCCTAATAAGTCACCTAGGTTTTGCTGTCTCCCATTGGGCTATTTTAAAAAAAAAAGCAGGGGAGGGGGCTGATGCCTTCTCTATTTGCCTCCACCTCCCTTTGTCTAGGGCAGTGGTCGGCAAACATATTAGTCAACAGAGCCAAATATTAACAGTGCAACGATTGAAATTTCTTTTGAGAGCTAAAAACTGACTTCTGCATATGGACCATGAAGTTTCAATTACACTATACATGTGTGCCCGCACGTGGTATTTTGTGGAAGAGCCACACTCAAGGGGCCAAAGAGCCGCAGTTTGCCGACCACTGGTCTAGGGGAATCATCCTAGGACATGTGCTACCAGCCACATATACAGCTCTCATCCTCTCTCCCCACCCCACATCCTGTTTGCTTTGGGAAAATTCAGTAATGGCCTGGCCAGATGCTGTTTCTTTTCTATGAAGATAAATCAGAGGCATGTTTCTTACACATTCAATCCAGCTACACGGGCTCCAGAGGCTGTACCCTTAAGATCATATTAAAATGTTTCTAGAGAATAGATAATATCCAGGTAAAGAGTTTGGATTTTAGAGGCAGCAGACTGGAGTCAAGCCTACACTCTGCTGCTTGTCAGTGTGGAGAAATGACTTATCCTTTCTAGGCCTCTGGGTCCTTACTGGTAAGGTAGGCAGGGCAATAGAAGCATGAAGTGCAATGCTACACCTCCTCTATGGCCACAGTTGGCTTGCTCTGCTGAGGAGCTCCAGCCCTGTCCGGACCACCACCATGACAACCTTCCTTGTGTCTTCTCATTTTTCCAGGAAGCTGAAGGAGAAGAGTCCCTATGGTACAGGGCATACCCACCCCAACTTCTTCTGGCCTGGTCACCTCCTGGACAAACTGCAGCTCTACCTGCCCTCTGTGCCTGTGGACCGGAGCCTGATGCTATTCAGTTGTGTCCAACAGCGGCCCCCAGCTTACCCAGTCACCTGCCACTCCTATCTGCGATGGCCCATTAGAAACAGGGACTATATGACCTGTGCTTATTCCGATGCCCCCAAGGTCATCTACAGCAACCAGAGTGGCCCAGGTGATGTCAAACCCAGCCAGCCTGGGGCTGGATACCAGTGCAGGTAGCAGCCCAGAGCCACAGACACCAGGAGTGTCAAAGAATCAAACGGAAGAAATCATTTCAGTGGGATGGCTGGGGGCTAGCTGTCTCCAGAGTAAAGTATCCAGGATCTCAGAGGCAGATGTGTCCAGAGAAAGAAGTACAGTTTTGGGGGGTTTCCCTGCCCTTTTGAAATAAACCAGATTGGAGTTTTTCTCATGTCACCTGTGATCCATCTGATGTGATTTATTGCTCAGAAGCTGTGGCGAGGAGGGTGTTTGGAAAAGTTGGGGTCCTGAGCCTGAGGTAATACAACAGGCACAATCCCTGGGATATTGATGGATGCCTGCCTGGCACCTCCTGCCTCTGGGATCTCAGTGTCTGGGGGGAAGCAGGAGGCAGTGTGGGGAGCCCTGTGCCTTCCTCTGAGAAACACCATGTCTCTCATCCCCCCAAAAAAACAGCCATTGGATTACTTCTTCCAAATCTCCTCAGTCTTTTACAATTGGAAGCATGTGCTCTGGTTCATGAACCCTTTGTCTGATTAACTCATCTGATGTTGTCAAAACCTTCTCCATTATATGGGCAGCTAGTTAATATATATATATATATATATATATATATATATATATATATATATATATATATATATGTGTGTGTGTGTGTGTGTGTGTGTGTGTGTTTGTGTGTGTGTTTTATATATATGTTATATATATATATATATATATATATGTTTGTTTTTATTGATTTCAGAGAGAAAGGGAGAGGGAGAGAGAAATGGAAACATTAATGATGATAGAGAATCACTGGCAGCCTCCTGAACGCTCTCCACTGGGTATCAAGCCCTAACTCAGACATATTCCCTTGTTACAGAAGACCGGACAAAAATCAAGCAATGCTTAGAGAAATGGAGTTACACTTTATTATTATCATTGTGCGGGCCCAGGGTAAAATGTCTTTTAAATTCTGAGCAACAACATGTAAGAAGTTGTCCCTTTTTATATCTTTTTCAGTCCTTTGTCTCCCAAATATGGGGTTTTCCGGTCCCCTTTGCAAGTTCTTAAAGAGCCCTATGTGCTGGGGCTTTGAGACTTCAACCAAAGACTTGGCCTGGCACCAGCACTGATAACTTCATCTGGGGAAGGTTTATGGCCTCTCTAAAATGGGAGTAAACAGGTCTTGCAGGACCAGACAATTCAAGAGGCAGTGAGTAGATTCAGGTTGCTAGCCACCCAAAATGTCTTTTTTTGCCGATCACCCTGACCACATGACTGGGAATCGAACAGTGTCCTCCTGGTTCATAGGTAGATATAGGCAGCTATTAAGACAGCGCAACTGTGCTCTGCATCCCATGTGACTCCCCACAGACCACAGGATAAGCAGAATTCATGAGGTGTGATTCACAAGGGGTTTTAGTCTTAACTCTGTTTGCCAAATAAGTGACCAGGAAGAAGACATTTGACTTCACATTTCACAATTCACTTCTTTGGGTCTCAAATTCGCCTTCCCTTTGTGTAGGGCAGTGTTTTCCAAAGTGTGGTACGTGTACCCACAGGGATATGGGAAGAGTTTAATGGGGGTATGCGTTGCACCAGAGTTTGGTGGGGATATGCACAGCATCGTGCTTAGCTGCGCCTAATTCTACGTTCTCATGAGTACGAGGGGTACTCAGCGTTATGAAAATTACAGAAGGGGTACACATATGTCAAAAGTCTTGGAAACACTGGTCTAAGGGAATCATCCTGCTATCATCCCTTCACAATCAAAATCTCATGACAGAGTTGGCAACACTCACTCTCCTCTCTTCTCCATTAAGTTAAGAACACATCCAGTTTAGCATCTATCTCCATCTGGCCCCTGGAATTACTCCTATCAAGATCACTAATGACATCAGTATTGTGGATCCAGGGACATTTTTTTCTTCTGAAATTTGATTTTTGCACTAATCTTAAAAAGAAAAAAAAAAAAAAATATATATATATATATATATATATATATATATATATATATATATATATATATATATATATATTAATTCCAGAGAGAAACATCAATGAAAGATAATCATTGATAAGCTGCCTTCTGCACGCCCCCTATTAGGGATCGAACTCACAACCTGGGCATATGCCCTTGATTGAAATCGAACCCGTACCCTTCAGTCCACGGGCCAACGCTCTATCCACTGAGCCAAACCAGCTAGGGCTCACATTAATCTTAAAATTAAACACTAAACAAAGAATAACAATAATAATAATATTTAAAAACAACAACAACAAAAAAAACCAACCTGGCCGTTTTAGCCTAATGGTTAGAAGAGTGGATTTTGTCAACCCCCAAATTTCACTTTCTACATTTCTGTAAAATAATAAATTTACTTCGTAGAATTGTGGAAAGGATAGTAAATTCCATTGAATGATAGCTATTTTACGTAGTCTCTCTCTCTCTCTCTTTTTTTTTTTTTTACAATAACTCACATGAGAGCATATTTTGAAGTCTCTGTTTCGCTTCCTCCTGGCCAGCAAGAGGCGCGCTTTGGAGCAGAAGACACCAGGGCGAAAAGGAAAAAAGAAAATAAGCTGGAGGCGGAAGTGCAGCTTCAACTTCTGGTGGAAGTGGGAGCGCCCCCCGCCAGGTCTTAAAAGCTCAAAAGGAATTCCAAATATTCTACGTAGTCCCAACAGCAGGTCTGAACATCTTTCAGCACTACTCCTAGACATTAATGTCTATTAAAACACAGGTAACCTTCAGCCTTTTTTCCAGTGTTATTTCTCTGACGTTTATTTTTGAACGACAGAGAGCCGGAAGTGCTCTCCTTTTCCCTGCCAGGACCCAGAGGTCAAGTTCCCATCAGCCCTCGCGCGGCACTTTCCCCTCTCTTCCTCGGCGCTGCCTACCGAGGTGGCAGCCATCTCCTACTCGGTGAGTTTTAATCGTCCGTCATCTGGGTCTCCGCGTTGTCCATCAGGCCCAATCGCTCCCTCGTGAGGCGGCTTGACCTTCCGAGTGGTCGTCTCGTTGGGTGTTGTCCTTGTCGCCTGGCGGATGCGCCTACAGGAGTACAACGAAGTGACCCAGCCGGTGTTGGAGGTTGGCTTTCCAGGGCGGCCGCTGGGGGACATTCTGAGCTGCGGGCAGCTTGTTTCAGCCCTGAGGTAGCGGGGCGCCGATTGAAATCAAAGTGAGGAGGTCCCTCTTGGGCGTGGAGCGATCGGGTTTTGCAGCCTCACTGGCCAGGGCCCAAATCCTAAGGTTCCTTAAGTAGATCAGCGATACCCTATCGCCCACGTGTTTAAAAAGATAAAAACCTATTTCTGTTGCCCGACGCTCCCTTCCCCGCAGTGTCTGGCCCTGGGGTGACTGCTGCGGCGGAACTGCCAAAAAGAGAGAGAAAGAAACCGAGTTGGCGTGTGGACTCGCTCAGTTACCAAAAATTCGGTTATCGGGTCAGGATCTCTGGGAATTTGTAACTGTCGTTGTCTTTGAGGAAATCAATGGGACAGGGCTGTGCATTCACTATCTTCTGTGAGCGAGCACATTGAGGAAGGTAACTTTTTGAGTGGATCTCCAGGTAGAATGGCATTTCCAAGGCCCAGGAGCGTTTTAGGAGTTCACCTACAGGTTTCTCTTTACCAAACGTCTGCCCTAGTCTGGGTACGGCGCGCGTTCAACGTGCACTAGTATCTCCGTTTTTAATAGGTGAGAAAACAGGTCCCAGTTCCTGTAGTTTGTCAAATGCCGGCATAACTAAAAGGAAATTGGACCAGCTGGGGTTGGGACACTGGCGTAGGATTTGCAGCCCCTTTGCTTGCTGAGAACGCTTGGGGACCAGTTTGTTTTAAATCAAAATCAGTCATTGGAATTCCTTCTTGGCTTGGAGTGGGCGAGGTGACCCCCAACCTCCCAGGACCGCGTCTGGCGAGTGGCTCATATTCTGCCAGCTTCGGAGACGGGAGGAAAAACAGGCCTGGCAGAGGCACCCATTCCAATCCCTGCTTGCTCGGTAGCTGGTGATTGGAAGGCACTCTGCAACAGTGAAGCCCTGGGCAAGGAAAGTCTCTTTTGGGGGCTGTCCTTTGTTTCAAGGTACCTGTCTCTTTTAAAGGCACCATGGCTGCCCTCAGACCCCTCGTGAAACCCAAGATTGTCAAAAAGAGGACTAAGAAGTTCATCCGGCACCAGTCAGACCGATATGTCAAAATTAAGGTAGGCTGTCTTGGGTTGGACATGGAAGTGTGTGTGTTGGGGTGAAGAAAAGGGTTCCTGAATCAGCTATTGGGTTTCTGATATCCTCTTTGGCAAATGAATCAAGGAGTCTGGTTGGTGGAAGAAACCTAGGCCTTTATTGGAACTCGGCCTCTTGGAGTGTGAATTGGAATTTAAGTGATGTGACATACTTGGCTGTTTTGAGGCTTATTTCTTTTCAGGTGGCCTTGATGGTATAAGGGGTAATTATCCTTATTTTATAGACGAGAAAACTTAACTCTTGAGGACAATGTGGAAACCCTTTCTTTCATCGTAATTGTTCACAATCACCTCATGTTCCATTGGTGTGTAATATGCTTTTCCTTAGGAGTGTGAATGTGGGTCCATTCTCCTGTTGTGCAAATACAGCAGCCCTTTATTTCTTCACTAATAAGTATATAAAGAAATGGTGAAATCCTGTAATCCAAAGATAGCTACTGTTATTTTTCATTTGGTCCCCTTTTTTCTTCCGGAAGGAAGAGTTGGCAGTCTGCATAGACACTAACCCACGTACTTGTTTTTCAGCGGAACTGGCGGAAACCCAGAGGCATTGACAACAGGGTGCGGAGAAGATTCAAGGGCCAGATCTTGATGCCCAACATTGGTTATGGGAGCAACAAGAAAACAAAGCACATGCTGCCCAGTGGCTTTCGGAAGTTTCTGGTCCATAACGTCAAGGAGCTTGAAGTGCTGCTGATGTGCAATAAGTGAGTTGGATCCCTCCCGCTCCCCCTTTCAGATGCCAGAAGTACACATCTGAGCATTTTTGGTAGGGACTCTAGACCTTTCAAAATGCATGTGGAGTTGTATGATCTCTCAGGAGCTTAGTGGATGCTTCTTGGGGACTTTAAAATGCTTTTGGAGGGACTGTGAGGGAGGGCATGATGGCTTGTCCTGAAAAGTGTAGAGACTCAAAAAGGACTTGAGTTAATACTACAAACACTGCTGTGTCATTTGGGCAGTCATTTCCAGAACGTTGCTTTATTTATGTGAGGGGTAGCCTCAGACCGAAGGAGCACTTAAACTGTGGCCACAGGTATCTTCAGAATGGTGGAGGGCTGTCTGATGTATACAGAGTGATCAGAGGTAGAGAAAAGGAAGACTACAGGCAGAGGGCACTTAAACTATATAGATGCAAAAGTGAATTGAGTCACAACATTGCTTTCTCGTTGTTTTAAGAAAGACACTTGGTGAGCCCTATGTGAGACTTTGATTTGCTTAGGGCCGTTGTTGGCAAACTTGGGCTCATGAGCCACATGCGGCTCTTTGGTCCCTTGAGTGTGGCTCTTTAACAAAATATCACCGCCTGGGCGAGTCTATTTTGAAGAAGTGGCGTTAGAAGAAATTTAAGTTAAAATTTGGCTCAAAAGATGTTTTAATCGTTGTACTGTTGATATTTGGCTCTTGACTATTGAGTTTGCCAGCCACTGGCTTAGGACAAAACTAGAACATTGGGTTGAGAAAATAATGTTCATGGGAAGACACAGATAATAAAAATGAGTTAAACTATTTTTTAAAATAATTCTTTATTGTTGAAAGTATTACATCCCCTTTTCCCTCATTGTCTCCCTCCAGCTTGCCCCTGCCCCCCTCAGCACCCTATTGTCTGTCCATGGGTTTTGCATATATGCATAGGTCTTTGTGAAGCCTTATTTGGTTGAGTTTCTAGGTTGGAGATTCAACCAGGCATAGAAATACTGGAAATTCTCTTTAGAAAAGATGAGCATTGGGATTAATGTTGGTGGAGGCCCAATCTAATACCTGTTGTGTAGCAAAAAAATGCAGGTAGTGAAAATGTTGCAATATCAGGAACCACGATTTTTAATCCACAAGTTTCTGGGCATTTATCCTTAAATAATTAAAATGCAGTGAAATTTTATAAGCTGATCATTGCAACAGTAAGTGAATAATTTGTAAAAATAATACATGTATTTAAAAATGTCACATATGAAAAATGCCCAAGCACCAGGGAAAGTATTTAAAATATGTATAGTGTGATTATTACATACATATAGATAAGGATCTGGTGAGTTTTTGAAAAAATGGAGGGGAGCCCCAAAGTGTAATATAACAAGTCAATCACTCCTTAGTCTTCCAGAGAGTGTGTCTTAATCACCTTTTATGGCTTCAGATCACCTCCTTACTGAAATTTGTTCATTAGACCAATTTGTTATATGTTTAGCTGTGAGGAATGGATGAGACAAGTTCCTGGTATACAATTGCTCAGGAAATGTAAGATATTGCTACTCACTGGGTGGCTTAAGCCAATGTTACTTTCAACTTGAATTATATCTGTGGCAGTCAAGTAAAATATTTATGGTCTGGATCAGGGAGCTCTCTTGGATTACACTGTTGGAATCTGCTCTGCTACTTGCATTTTCAAGATAGTGGCAAGTCCAAGCTCCCTGAGACTTCCCTGAGTTGGGCAGTTTGGCCAGAAAGACTGAGGGAGAATCTCAACCTGTGGTCTAGGGCTGAGCCATCCTGGCCCTGTTCATTATTGCATTGTGATTTGGAAATTCACTTCCGCCTCTTGTATGTAAAATGGAGGGGATAACGTGTCTTACAGTTTCTGTGAGGATTAAATAGGCGGTAGTGAGAGAGCTTTGCTAGTACTGTGGAATTTGGGGTGTGCAGGTGTCGTCGTTCAACACCGTTTACCAGCACACCCGCTCTACCCAGTGCTGTGGCTCTGGAGGTCAAGTGACCAGAGCTTTTGCTTCCCAGTGGAACACACAGTGTTCTGGGCTTGCTTGCTCCTTACCTACTTATTGGTTCTCTTCTAGGTCTTACTGTGCTGAGATTGCTCACAACGTCTCCTCCAAGAACCGCAAAGCCATTGTGGAAAGAGCAGCCCAGCTGGCCATCAGAGTCACCAATCCCAATGCCAGGCTGCGCAGCGAAGAAAATGAATAGACAGATTGTGTACACATTGTATTTGTGTTAATAAAATCATAAAATTCTGCCATCTGGCATTTCCGCCCTTGGTTTTACTCTCCAGTTTCTCTGATGGCTTGTCAGAGATTGTTCTTTTGCCTATTAATGCTCTGAAATCTGCCATTTGGAAGGATACTCAATTCTTCATAGGCACTGATCTTAGGTGCCCAGACCATCCTTGGTCAGCTCCAGTTAGGGCTGCGGAAGACTTGGCTCTCAGACCACAGTAGGTTCTGAAACTTCATTGAGGGATCTTGCAGTTCAGAGCAAGCTCTTTCTTAGTCTCACTTTTTGTAAAGTTGAATAAATTCTGTGGTTCTTATGGAGATTGAAAAAATGCATAAAAAGGATCCAAGTAAATGTCTTCATTATATTCTTGTTCGGTGTTGAAATAGGACCATATAGCTTCTGTCCAAAAATACAAAACAGGGTAACACAAATCCCTCTATAGTGATCCACCCTGAATGCTTGAAGGTAGCTTTCAATATAAATCCTCCCTCCCCCCCCCTGCAAATTCACTGCTTCTGGGCTTCTGGCATAATTTCCATAGGTGTGGGATCCTTAACATGTTAATTGGGCCTCTTAGGACTCAGAATTTAACACCCAAACTCCTTTACAACTACAGTAGGTAGTCTCTAATTCAAAGGTTATATGGGTCACATAGGATGAGGTACGTGGTGCTGCAGTACAGCTATTCTCATCCCTGGCACACAAACTAAAATGTGACACTAAATATCTTGGCAGATATGGCCAAAATAGGTATAGTGTATCTTCACAATCCTGGTTAACTGAGCCAGGAATAAAATTTTCCTGGTGTGTGAGCCATGCCTGGATGTAAGGCTCACTGAGTTGATAAACGTCTTACAGGTTGGTGATTTCTTTCAATTGACTTGTGACGTACTAATAAGTGGTAAGAATTGTGCAGAGAAAATTGTAGCTTAGGATCTCCTTTATTAATCTATTTTCTGATAGTACAGAAAATTCTATGGCCTATCGCAAAGTTTTATGAGTTTCTAAAAACATTCAAACCTTAGAAGGTCATAAACCAGCTGGTTATGCCTAGGTGGGGTGACATGAAAGTGGTTTGCACTAAATAGTGTTTTGCTGTTAACCAGCTCATTTCATAAAGGGTTTTGAAATTTGAAACACATAGGTGTAATTTACTACCCACACAAGAAAACCTTTCAGATTTATTACTGCCTATTGGGATCTTTTTATTCTAAAATGAATAATTCAAAAAGTATCAGAGTTTTTAAGATGCCCAGCCAAAGCACTAATTCTTGGTGTTACCAATTTAATCCAATGAATTAAATTGAATGGTATGGAAGAAAGGCCAGCCTGCTGCCTCCTAACCTCACAGCTGTGAGCACAAGAGTAAAGACAAGTATTTCATGAAGCAGTGCCTCCCCAGCTTGAGAACTAGGTTAGTGTGAATTCACACTGAAAAATTACATCCCAATGCTTTGAATGGCTGTCCTGAGTTAAAGGGCCCAACTGTTGGCAGCCTTACAGCTCCTGGTTGGGGAACCTATGAGTTAGGGTCCCTGGAGAAGGCACTGTAAATCCCAAAGAGGAATAGGAGGGCTCCCAGGGAGATGAAAGGATTAAAGGCCAGTGGCCTTTGGTGGTGGGAGAGAGGCTGAGACCGCAGGCCTGGGTGGGCCCCCTTCTCTTGAGGAAGGGCCCATCTAGGGGGTGGGCTAAGACTAGCCGAGATCCATTGAGTCTGTGTTGGGGGCTGAAACAGAATCCTTCTGGATGCTCTCAAAGAGGGTGGCAAGTTCAGGGTTGGATCTGATTTGGGAAGAGAAGTCAGCCATGATGGGGCTTTTCCCCACTTCTGGGATGGTCAGCAAGGCGGCCACTGCCCTCATGGCAGAGCGCTTCAGTTCATCTTGCTTCTCAAACTCCTGCTTCACAGAACCAGCTTTGACCTAAAGTGGGAAACAACAATGAGCCATCCTTGATTGAGCCTGTCCTTACACCACATTCTCTGGCTTCCCCTCCACCACCTGTGGCATACTCCCCTGCTTCACCATCTCTGGTTCCAGCCTCCTGAGGGCTCTCTCCACCTCTGGGCTTTCTCATGCAAATCAGCTTCAAAGTCACCCAAAGGACCTTGAGTAGCCAATCTAAATTTTGTTTATTTTTTATAATAAACCCAAGGTGCTAATTCATGTGAAATGTTCACTCTGCTACCTCATCCCCACCCTCTCCCATCTAGAGAATCTTAGAAATTCTTCTATGCTTATGGGATAAAGGCCTTCCGTGACTTAAACCCAGACAACACTAGTCTCTTCCCCCTCAAAACCTAATGGTTAAGGACTTGGTATGGGGTTGGACAGTCCTGCATTCAAATGGCTCTGCCGGTGAGAGCTGGGACTTCAGGTAGAAACTTTTGTCCCTCACTTCCCCAACTATAAATAAGAGCCTCCTCTTACAGGGCTGCTACGAGGATTAAAGGACCTTGCAGGCCCACACCCCTTCTCTGAAACCCTTAACACCAGATGTGCTTTTGAAATTAAGGAATTTGAGGGGTTTTAGAAAGGCGATAGTATGCAGATATCAGGCGATAGTCTGATACAATACCCTGTAATCAAATACACTAGTATTTCCCCCACTAAGTTTAGGGGAAAATGTAAGAATATTATGAATATCATAAAGAGGGAAACAAGGTCATAAACAGCCTGGTGCCCATTCAAGTTAAGTTTTGGTGCCAAACAAGTTACTATAGTCTTTTTAGTTTCCAGACCTTTGTAGGATTCAGAATTGTGGGTGAGGGGTTGGGGACATGGATGTGACAAGCTCTCATCACTGTGCTCGACAAACAGCATCCTCTAAGCAGCCAGACTGAGTGGCTTTCTGCAGGCTCAGATGAAAGCGAGTGAAGGGTATCCCGACCCTACGATGCCATTTGCAGCTGCTTCTGTGAACTGGATTTTTCTCCATGCAGTACGGTTCAAAGTACACCAGAGATATTTGGCCACAGAGACTGTCAAGAGTTCAGTAGGCCTGCAGTACCAATGTTTTCCTTGACTTCATACTAAGTATACGTTAAAAATAGAAATTTGCAAGGCAGGTTTCTATTAATAAGTTACCAATTTTATCCACATAAAAATTTTTTTGAAAAGGTGCTACTGCTTGGAAATTACTGCTTTAGAGTGTCTTTCCTCGTTAAGCTCCAATCTGAAATAATCTGCTCTCCTTGTGATTAAGTCTTTTGCTCTTCCAAAACCCAAATTAGTTCTTCACTCAATAGGTATTTACTGGGTAATTTACCCTCTAAGTGTGCCAGGCTCTGTTCTCAACACCAGCTTTCTATGAGACCTTTTGCCCCGGATCCCTACACTGAACCCTTGAGGCACTCCAACTCTGCCCCATACTAATCAATCAGTTAACAAATGATTTCTGTCTATGAGTGCCTCAGTTTCCCAATTCGGATGTGAGAAGAGGGAGTCCCTCATGTTCAATGCTGTGTCCCCAGTACCTTGCACAAGGCCTGACACACAGGAAATATTTAATGAATGACAGACGGAGCTGGATTTGAATCCTAGCTCTGCAATTTACTAACTGTGTACCCTCAGCCAACAACTAGGCCTCTCCGAGCCACTGTTCCCTGTGTAGACAATGGTAAGAATAAGAAGTAATAAGAACTACTTCATTGGATGACGATGATTAAAATAAGCCCTTCCCACACCACCTGTACCTTAGGAGGTTCTTGGTAAATGGTAACTGAACAATCAGCAGAGGGCCTATAGGGCCGGACAGGGGCTTACTTTGGCAATACAGGTGGCCCTGAGTGGCTCAATGAGCCGGTCCACCCTCTGCAGGACAGGCACAGGACACAGGGTAGCCAGTCGTGCGAGCATGATGAAGGTCAGCATCTGCCCAGGAGGAAGGAGACATTGGCCGGAATGGGAGAGAAGAACAGAAAGACTTGCTCAAGCATGGGAAAAACCCATTAAAAATAACTCACTTTTATCATGCAGTGGGTCTTGGCCATCTTTCACATCAGTACACAGAGAACTAGCTCACTTTTTAAAAAAAGATATATTTTATTGATTTTTTTTTTTTTTTTTTTTTTTTTTTTTTTTTTTTTTTTTTTTTTTACAGAGAGGAAAGGAGAGGGATAGAGAGTTTGCAGGCCAATGCTCTACCCACTGAGCCAAACTGGCTAGCTCACTCTTTAATGTGGCTAGGATTCCATGACTGGAGGTACCCAGTTTATGGAGCCAGTTCTCCATAAGTGAACATTTAGATAGCTTCCAGATTTTCCCAATTAACAGAAATCAGTGAAGAAAAATCTTGAACATAAAACTCTGAACATGTGCAGGAATTAGTTCAGAAGCTCATGGACATGGAAAAGCTGGGCCAAAGGGTATGTCTGAGAATTATAAATTGTTCTAGTTATTGCCAAACCATCCAAAGAGCTTGCCAGTGTAGACTCAAACCAAAAGTGTTTGAAACAAGGGTTCTTTTTTTAAAAATATATATTTTTATTGGCCGAAACCGGTTTGGCTCAGTGGATAGAGCGTCAGCCTGCGGACTGAAAGGTCCCGTGTTTGATTCTGGTCAAGGTACATTCCCAATAGGGGGTGTGCAGGTGGCAACTGATCAATGTTTCTAACTCTCTATCCCTCTCCCTTCCTCTCTGTAAAATAAATAAATAAATAAATAAATAAATAAATAAATAAATAAAAAAAATTTAAAAATCAATAAAAAATATATTTTTATTGATTTTAGAGAGGGAGGAAAAGGGAAAGAGATAGAAAGATCAATAATGAGAGAGAATCACTGATCGGCTGCTTCCTGCATGCCCCCTCCTGGGGAGCGAGCTTGCAACTCGGGCATGGCCTTTGACCAGAATCAAACTCAGAACCCGTTAGTCCGCAGGTCAAGGCTCTATCCATTGAGTTAAACCAGCTAGAGTGAGACGTGGGTACTTATCAGAAAAAAAAAAAAAGATACAGCTATTTTCAGGGGGTTCCTGGGGCAGGAAGTGAGGGACAAACAAGCAGTGGGCCCAGTGGTGCCTGGCTGTCCCCTCGGTATGGGGTGGGCACGGTGCTGGCAGGGGCTCACCCTACCCGGATGTCGTAGTGGTCCTTCAGGCCGTCCTCCACGTGGTTCAGGAACTCGCAGATGGCCAGCTGGCCCAGGCAGCTCTCCAGCAGCGAGTACATGCACTCGAAGGCCACCTTCCGCACATCCAGCCCGTCGTCCACGGTGTGCTTAAAGGGTCCCATCTCTACCTGCGGGGGGGGGGGGGGGGGAGGATGTGACCCCAGAGTGCAGGAACACCTCCCCCCGTTCCTGCTGCGTACCCCACATCTGCTGCTCATTTTACCTGTGAGGAGAAACTGAGGCTCAGAGTGGAGTAAGTTGCCCTGGCAGGGTCACACAGCTGGGAAGTGGAGGGTCCAGACTTGACGTAGGCCGTGGAGCCTCATCTGATGAGCTGGACCCTAATCCTCAGCACAGCCCCACCAGTCAGTCCCGAAGCTCCCGCTCAGTCCTCCCCCCCGCCTCACCTCTCGGATAAGGTCTCGGCGGATCTTTGTCTCCCGGTAAAGGAGCGGGAGGATGTCATTCAGCAGGTCCCGGACCAACGAGGGCTTGTTGTGCACGGCGGAGTTGAAGAAGGTCAGAGTGGCCCTGCGCACGTTCAGGTCCGGGTCCTGCAGGCTCTCCATGAACTCTCCTGGCCGCAGGAAAATGAGAGGGGGGTGTGAGAGATGGCACAGCCACGACACAAACCATCTCCACCGCCACATCAGTTACGTGGTCCACGTGAGTCATGCATACCTGGCTGAATGGGGGTGAACATGTTTGAGCATCTACTTTGCACAGAAAGTCCAGATAAGAATGTGGACTCAAGTCTAGCCTGGGTTCAAACCCAAATTCTGGGACCTCCTCATCTGTAAAATGGGGGTAATAGCAGTGTCTATTCTGTAGCAATGCGTTTGTGATTTAAAATGTGGTTGTGTATAAAGCACATAGCAGAGGCCCTGGCACAAGGCAAAGATCCTACAAATGTTAACCTGATATTATTATAGATGAGGCACCCGAGGATCAGAGTGGTGAATAAACTTACACAAAGTCATACTTTACTAAGTATATCTTTTGTATAGTTTAGACTTCTTAATAACTGTGTTAATGTTTTATATATTCAATAAACAAAATCAAGAACTGTGTCCAGCCTATGTGGCTCAGTGGTTGAGCATCGACCCTTGAATCATGAGGTCACCAGTTCAATTTACGGTCAGGGCATATGCCCAGATTGTGGGCTCAATCCCCAGCAGGGGATGTGCAGGAGGCAGCCAATCAGTGATTCTCTCTCATCACTGATGTTTCTCTCTCTTTCATCCTCTCCCTTTCTCTCTAAAATCAATAAAAGTATATTTTAAAATATTATAACAACAAAGACCCATAGGCTTGGAGCGCTGAAGAAGTGAGCCTGGTCCTGCAGAGGCTCCAAGGAAGGAGAGTTAAGCCTCCTCCCAGCGAAGGCTCCTTGAACTCCTCAGGCCAGAAGGTCCCTCTGACCGGGACAAGTCAGGGATCCACTCTCCCTTGCCATGGTGCAGCCCTGCCCAGCTCGGTGCCTACTGAAGCCAAAATGTTACACAGGCTGGTAGTTTTCCACTTCTTCTTTCTTTCTTTCTTTCTTTTTTTTTTTTTAATATATTTTTATTGTTTTTTTACAGAGACGAAGGGAGAGAGATAGAGAGTTAGAAACACCGATGAGCTGAAACCGGTTTGGCTCAGTGGATAGAGTGTCAGCTTGCAGACTGAAAGGGCCCAGATCAAGGGCATGTGGTTGCAGGCACATCCCCAGTGGGAGGTGTACAAGAGGCAGCTGATCGATGTTTCTCTCTCATCGATGTTTCTAACTCTCTATCCCTCTTCCTTCCTCTCTGTAAAAAATCAATAAAATATATTTGAAAGAAAGAAAGAAAAAGAAGGAAAGAAAGAAAGAAAGAAAGAAAGAAAGAAAGAAAGAAAGAAAGAAAAGAAAAGAAAGAAAAGAAAAGATGAGGGAGAAACATTGGTCAGCTACCTCCTGCACACCCCCCACTGGGGATGTGCCCTCAACCAAGGTACATGCCCTTGACCAGAATTGAACCTGGGACCCTTCAGTCTGCAGGCTGACACTGTCCATTGAGCCAAACCAGTTTCGATGGTGGTTTTCCACTTCTAAGAGCCTCTGTGGTCATGGAGCACTTTCTCCCTCAATTATACTATATGGAGTCTCCAAAACCTTAGAACTGCAGTTTCATGTCCCCATTTTACAGATAAGGAAACTGAAGTTCAGCGGTGGGAGGGGCATATTGGGCTCACTCAGCAACCCAGTGGCAGCCAAGGGGGTTTGAAGCCAGGCCCTGCTGCTGTCATGACGATAAGGTGGACTCCTGGTCTCCAACTCCCTTCAGTTAATGTGTTAAAAAAAAAAATCAGCTAAAGCTCAAGGGCTGTGGAGGGGACTGAATGGGGCTGGAGACAGAGGGCATGCTCTACTCACCAATGAAGCTCTTGAGGAGGGGGTCAATGGGATGGGGCTGGTCCGAGACGAGGAACTTGACCGCTGTGATGACAGTGCTCCGGGTGTTCGGCTGGCCTGAGGGCAAGGGGCAGTGGCTTGATGAGGGGCAGGGCCGATCCTGGATACCCACAGGTCAGAAGGTGCCAAGACTCTCCTCTGCCTCCATGGAAGACAAAAATATACCTCTCCCCTCCTGAAACCCTCCAAAGTCTTTGGGAGTCAATGCTAGTGTTTCCCTTGGCAGCCTAGAATCTCCCTGCTGCGTCTGAAAGAGTAAAACGGTCAGTTTGCAGGTAACCACATTACCACATACAGAGAACCAAGAACTCAAGAGCAGCCCAGCTGGTGTGACTCAGCAGTTGAGTATCATCCAGGAACCAAGAGGTCTTAGGTTTAATTCCTGGTCAGGGGTCAGGGCACATGCCTGGGTTCCTGGCTCAATCCCCAGTAGGGGGCGTGCAGGAGACAGCCAATCAATGATGTTTCTCTCTCACTGATGTTTCTACCTCTCTATTCCTCTCCCTTCCTCTCTGAAATCAATAAATTATATATATATATATATATATATATATATATATATATATATATATATAGTATTTATTGATTAAATACTATATATAAAAATTTTAAAAATTATATATATATATATATATATATATAATTTTTTTTTTAAGGAAGGGAAATGAGATGGAGATTAGAATGAGGGGCTTACAGGGAGAAGCAACTGGGAAGTCCCATGAACTCGCTAGAAGCAGGCCATCAGTTTGGCTCTGAGCTTTCTTTTCCGAAACCAGTGGTGAAAAGGACATGACACTGACTAGCTGGTTCAACAGAATGCACGAAGCAGAAACAAGCCAGCGCTCAGAAAAGGGAGGACTGCTCCTCATCCTGAGACTCGCCTCTCAGGGGTCCCTGTGAACAGCCCTGTGAATGTAACCAAGAATATCCTCGGGGAATGCTCTTTCTGCTCACGCAGGGGTGAGGGCTACACAGCTTCTCTTATCAACCCAGCAAGGGCTTAACGTAACCACCAACAGCAGCAGCAGCAGCAGCAGGCGCGCAGTGTTCATTAGGTACCACAGCCCTCTACAAAGCACTCTGGCCGAAACCGGTTTGGCTCAGTGGATAGAGTGTCAGCCTGTGGACTGAAAGGTCCCGGGTTCGATTCCGGTCAAGGGCATGTACCTTGATTGTGGGCACATCCCCAGCAGGGGGTGTGCAAGAGGCAGCTGATCGATGATTCTCTCTCATCGATGTTTCTAAATCTCTCTTCCTCTCTAAAAAATCAATAAAAATATATGTACAAAAAAAAGCACTCTGCCTACCTTATGTGACATGGTACACCCAAGGACCCTATCCGGGGGCCAGCTGACCAGCTCCAGGCCTGGATGCCTTTCGCTCTCAGTGGCCCACATAGCTGCACAGGTACACCTGTCTGCTTCCTTCCTCCCTGAGCTGTGGAACACCTGATGTGCCCTGATCTGACCACACAGAGCCTGCCCCCTAGCTCCTGCCCAGCCTTCCTCAACCCCCAGGGCGTGGCTTGGCTTCCAATCTCAGTCTACATTCCCATTTGCTCCTGACTCAAGCTAGCCCTCAAAAGCTGCACTCTGCAGTGGCAGGGCCTCGCCCCTCGGAGACCTGCTTTGATTAACCCTCGCCTGGAACATGAGGGCGCTGTCCGCATCACGGATTATGGAAGTGGCATCCTCACGAAACGTTTATGTGGAAGATCAAGGACCCCGCCTCCTCCATTCCGGTGATCTCACGGGAGGAGGCCACTAAGTCTCTCCGGGGAAACAGCGTGGAACGACTCCTCTGCCTTTATCTCCCACACAAGACGCCAGCTCACTTTGGGCGGGATGCTCAGAAGCGCAGGGCCACACTGCCCACCGGTAGGTGACCTGGACACATACCTGCGGCAAGCTGCTTCCGGAGCCGGGGCAGAAGGAAGGGCGGGTTGGCGAGAACGAGCTTCCCGATGCACTCGGCCACTACCCCCCGGGCGCCCTCCTCGGCCGCCTCGCAGCGCTGGAACAGCAGGGCCCAGATGTCCTCGGCGTAGGGCTTCAGGCTCTCGGGCGGGGCGGCCCCCAGCGCCTCCCGGAGCGCCTGCAGCAGCAGGTACTGCCGCCGGGGCTCGGCCTCTATCTGCCCCAGCAGGAAGGGCAAGAAGTCGGGCAGGTTCCCGGCGCCCACACGGCCTAGCGCGTAGGAGGCTGCGGCCCTCACGTCCTCGCTGGGCGACCCTAAGGCGTCCAGGAGCACAGCCTTGAGCTCCCGCTGGGGGCCCGGCCCGGCCACCTGGCCCACCTCCGCCAGCGACAGGAAGGCCAGCACCTTGACCCCCGTGCTGGACTTGGGTGACCTGGCGTCGCAGACCAGGCGGTTTGCCGTGCCTGCTGCCTCCTGGGGACAGGCAGCCGTGAGGGCGGCCACGCACCGAGCCAGGGAATGGAACACCTGCTTGTGCAGGCCCGGCCCGCCGTCCGCAGCCTGCTCGTACACAGGCGCGGTGAGCAGGCCCATGAGCTTGGCGTAGTCCACGCACGGGGGCCGGGTCCCCACCAGAGCCTGCAGGAGGCCCTGGGCCGCTGCCAGCACCCCCGCTGGCAACAGGGGCGAACGCAGCAGCTGCAGCAGCGCCGAGAGCACCGGGCTGCTGACCTCGGCCAGAGAGGCTGGCTGGGCCTGGGCCACCGTGGTGAGGAAGTCCACGGCCAGCTGGGCCACGTGCATGTCGCTCTCGCTGACCAGGGCAGGCAGCTCCGCCAGCACCACCCGGACCGCACGCGGAGGGAGGCTGAGTCCCTGGCGCTGGGCCAGGGCGTCCAGGGCGGCCAGGGCGGCCAGCCGTAGCGCCCGTTGGTTCTTGCGCAGGAAGGAGGCCAGGATGGGCAGCGACTCGGCCGGGATGGGCTGCAGGTCAAGCGGCAGCGGGGACCGAGCCACGAGCGTCAGGGCCTTGACGGCGGGCAGCCGGGTGATCTCATTCCGCAGGCGGTCCAGGAGGAGCGACAGCGACGGCGGCAGGTCGTCCCCCAGCCGGTCCCCCAGGTGGCCCACGAGGTGGCCCGCGCAGGAGATGGCCCGCTCCTTCACCTCCTGGTCCAGGTCGGTGGCACGGAGCCGTGCCAGGGTGGCCGCAGACATCTCTCCAACGTAGGGCTCGGGGTCCAGCCCCCGAGGCCCGCCCAGGGGCCACAGGGCCCGCACCAGCTCCTGCAGCACCAGCAGGGCCTCGGCTGCGATCTTGTAGAAAGGGTCGGACACGCAGGCCGTCACCGGGGGCAGGAGGGTGGGCAGGTGCGGGTGGAAGGCCTCGGCGGGCTCGGTGCCCAGCAGCCCCTGCAGGAACGCCAGGGCGTCCATCCGGATGGTGGAGGAGTTCGCGCGGTCCGCCAGCGAGAAGACGATGCCTGCAGGATGGGTTGTGCAAACATGAGGGGCCGCAGACCCTGGCCCAACACAGTCCTCCCTGGGCGCGAGGGTGCCACACCCACAGGGGTTTTGAGCTGCATGGCTCTGATGCAGCAGATGCTAAGAGGCCAGGGTTTGGCTGGGGCCAGGGCTGAGGGACACAAGGCCACCTGAAGCCAGGATGCAGGGCCTGCACCCCAGCCTTGTTCTCACTGCTGGCAATGGGGAGCCAACTGTACGTTGCTGAATAGGGGCACCCTCAAGGATGGGGGGCCAGATTCTGAAAGAGGCCCAGGACAGCAGACACCAGGTTCCGGTCCATCCTACCTGCTACCAGCACAGGCATGTGCTCTGCCAGGCTGCCAGGGAGGATGCCCGCCAGCTCGGAGAGGAGGCTGAAGCACCCCTGGCGGACCCTGACACTCCGATCTCTCAGCTGCCGTTGGAGGGCCTTGATCACCAGGGGCACCTGTGGGCAAGTGGGGGGACATCAGCGACCTCCCGGGGAGCTTCCACACCCCAACTCCTGAGGGGCTTGGCTGGGCGCCCATCGGGGGCCCCAGCATGGAGATGGTCGCTCCATCCCAACCTTTCCATCACTTGCCCTGCACCAGACACCTGGTTCTATACTCAGACCTGACGCAGGCACTACAGCTCGGCCCACTTGACAGATGGAGAGCTGGGTACAGAGAGATTCAATAACTTGCTCAAAACGACACAGGCAGCCTGGCTCTCACCCCTCCACCCCAAGGGCCTGTTCTCTTCCACAGCTGGGTTCTCCTCCGAGGAGCTCATCTGCTCCCCCAGCTTCAGAGGCCAGCACTCAAGGCTATGCCATCTACACTGTCAACACCCGACGTGAGTGCTGACTGCCCCGGATGTCTCTCTCCGTTTGGACATCCGAGAATCGTGGACATACATGTCTGGAACAGAACTCTGGACATGGGCCTCGGCATGTTCCGCCACCTCAGGGAACGGCACTCCCTGCTTCAGCCAGAGCCTAGAACGCACACCTCCCCGCCCCTGCCCTCCCCCCACATCCAATCGATCAGCAAGACCCAACACCGAGCGGGCGGGCCAAGGGCAGGGCTTTGATTTGTCCTGTTCCCCACGGTGCCCAGCCTGGCGCACAGAGCCGGGCAGGCAGCGGGTGGAGAGATGGTGGGGTGTGTGGGTGGACGGGAGGGTTGTGAGAAGGTGGGAGGGTGAGTGGTGAGTTGGGGGAGGGGGGTTGGGAGGGCAGAGAGGTGAAGGTGTGCCCACCTGCTCCCGCAGCATGTGGAGGCTGCTGCCCGCCTGGGTGGGCTCCTCCACCCACCCCTTCGGGGGCCGCGTCTGCCGAAGCAGCGTGATGTAGGCCACGAAGACATCCGCCTTGACGTTCTCCTCGCGCTCCCGGAAGCGGCGGATGAGCGCCGGCGCCAGGGTGCGGTGGAAGCCGGGCAGCAGGTCCGGCCGAGAGCCGATCAGGGCTGCCACGCACTTGGCCGCGGCCCGGCGCACCTTCCAGCTCATGTCGTCGTCGTCGCTGTACTCGTCCTCACTCTCTGGGGCGGGAACCAGACACCCGTGGGGCCCTGCACTCTGGAGCAGATGGACAGGGAGCTGCCTGCCCCTGCCCCCTCGGGGGGCTCCCAGGGTGGAGAGGCGAAGAGGGAGCCACGCCCGTGTCCCACCTTTTGATGACCATTACTTACACACTATGGGGGCGGGCAAAGGTAGGGTTACGGTGGCGAGTCCATGAAACACAGAATGTATTCTTGAATTATTTATTAATTATTGCATTTTCCATATGAACAATCGTATACCTACTTTTTGCCTACTCCTGTAAAAGGGATGTTACCTACCATTTAACGAACACCTACTGTGTGCTGGGGATGGCACCAGGCACGTCAAACCCGCAACCTCATTCTAGCCTCACAACGACCTTGTGAGACGGGAATTACTTTTCCATTGTAGAGATGGGAAAAGACTGGCCCCAAGTTACATGAGCAGGACATAGCTGGAATTAAACCAAAGTTCTCCTCCTGCCTCCATATCCCCCCCTGTTGTGACTACACCAGGGGAAAACCTGACTTCCACGTCTTTAACGAGGACCTAGAGAATCCATTTGGGGCACAAAACCCATCCTTTGGTTTCAGGACTGGTTGTGTGATGTTTCATTTATGGGGATTCCAGAAGGAAGAGGTAACATAGGGCCTCCTTTCGCATTGCCCCACCCACACCCTGCCCCGGCCTCTCAAGGGCCCTGATTGCCTGGCTTCCAAGCAAGAAATGCTCTGTTTGGCCGAAACCGGTTTGGCTCAATGGATAGAGCGTCGGACTGAGGACTGAAAGGTCCCAGGTTCGATTCCCGTCAAGGGCATGTACCTTGGTTGTGGGCACATCCCCAGTAGGGGGTGTGCAAGAGGCAGCTGCTTGATGATGCTCTCTCATCGATGTTTCTAACTCTCTATCCTCTCTTTCTCTCTGTAAAATAATCAATAAAATATATTAAAAAGAAAAAAAAAAAAGAAAAGAAATGCTCTGTTTGTGTAGCTTCTTACAAACAGCTCCTCTGAGAAGCCAGAGCCCGCACAGTGCCGTGAACCCCATTGTATAGATGAAGAGATGTCTAGAATAAAGATCAGAGATAGTGAGAGGCTCTCCTGAGGGCACACAGCTAGGGGACAGGATAGCTGGGATTCGTGCCCACGAGGCCCGCGCCCCTATAACTCCTGTGGAGACACCCGCGCTCAGAGGGGCATGGTCCTAGTCACAGGCCAGAGGCCACAGTATTCTTACCCACACTGCTCTGCTGAAGACTCAGCTCTCAGAGCTGGCATCTGGACAAGCCAGCTTGTCTCACGGGATGGTCCCATGCGTGCGTCCCGGCAGCTTAGCAGATGTCCCCTCTGAAGGACCATTATTTGTTACCTCCACCCTATGCCACCCATGAAGAAATATCCACAGCTCCCTGTTACTGATAAAAAAAAAAAAAAAAAAAAAAAAAAAAAAAAGCGCCGAAACTGGTTTGGCTCAGTGGACAGAGCGTCTGTCTGCGGACTGAAAGGTCCCAGGTTCGATTCCAGTCAAGGGCATGTACATTGGTTGCAGGCACATCCCCTGTCGGGGGTGTGCAGGAGGCAGCTGGTCGTTGTTTCTCTCTCATCGATGTTTCTAGCTCTCTATCCCTCTTCCTTCCTCTCCATAAAAATCAATAAAAATATATTTTTTTAAAAATGCCCGATCTCACTGGCTTGGTATTCGAGGTTCCAATATGACTGTCCAGTCTTGTCTCCCACCATCCCATCTCATTCCAAGGACTCCATCAAAACCCAAATCCCTGGCCTCCCTTGATGGCCTGCTTTGAGAACACAAGGGACACCCATCTGGGTGACGAACTGGACCACAGACATGGAAGGAAGGAAGCACTGAGTTCATTCCCCATCCAGATGTCATTCTACCATCCAAGCTCCACTCTGCTGGGTTAGAGGATTACCTCTTGGAAGCCATGACTGAAAGGGCAGCAATGCAGTGAGGTCTGACAGTCATGGCTCCAAGTCCCAGCTATGCCACTTGCTAGCTGAGTTACCTCAGAGCTGTGTTACCTCAGGCAAATCACTTCTCACAGTCTCAGTTTCCTTGTCTAAAATACAGGGCCAATCATAAGCACCTGGTTTTCTAGGGTTCCTGTAAGGAACCTGAATTGAGAGAATGCTTGGGACACCAGTAGACACTCAAAAAATGTTAGTGATTACTACTACCCTTACTGCACAGCCAGAAAGGATGGGGACAGAGGAGAATCCAGAATGTGGAAGGCAGGGCTGGAGCCTGAGGGACAGCTGGTATCAAGATAAGGGCACTGACTGTGGCCCATCGTTGGCTAGGGAAGGGGGTCCCAGGAGAGCTGCACTCATTTCCACAAGGTTGGTCACCCACCTTGCTCACTGAATTCACCCTCCTCCGTCTCCATCTGCTCCTCATCCCCGTCACTGTCGTAGTTATAGTTGGGGTCATGTTCCATGTACTGGAGGCACAGGCTGGTTACACTGGGCACGTGAGGGCCCATCTCCTTGGGGCACCTGTGGGGTGGGAGAAGGAGGCTTTGGTGGACTCAGGCAGGACAGGGCAGGCAGTGGGGCCGGTGATGAGTCCTGAGATCTTACTGCTCTGAGGCCAGCATCCTGCCCCCCATCCTACCCCACCAACTTCCCACAGAAACTCTGGGGCCCCTGCCTCCCAGCATCCCACGGCACCTACTTCCTCAGGAAGGCTTCGAAGGCCTGCAGGCAGGACTCCCGGAGCTCATCGTCATCCAGGCTGCAGAACTCCTCCACCAGAGGCACCAAGCGGTCCAGGTGGGCCCCTGTAAGGCCAGGCGGGTCACTGAGGACGGGCCGGATCCTCTCCCGGGCTCTCCTCGCCCACAGCACCCCGCCTTTCCCTGCACCGGCATCCCTGGCCACTGCAAACCCAGCTCAGAGGCTTCAGGGTTAAACAGATGTAGGTTCTAGCTCTGGCTTTGCCACCTAGGAGCCCTGGGAGCCTGGGCATGTCACAGCACTTCCCTGCCCTCGGTCTACTCATCTTCACAGCAGAGGCAACAATGCCTACCACACAGAGATTTCTGTGAAGATTTTTAAGATGCAGATAACAAGCTTTGCCCAGCCGAAACCGGTTTGGCTCAGTGGATAGAGCGTCGGTCTGCAGACTGAAGGGTCCCAGGTTCAATTCCGGTCAAGGACATGTACATTGGTTGCGGGCACATCCCCAGTGGGAGGTGTGCAAGAGGCAGCTGATCGATGATTCTCTCTCATCGATGTTTCTAACTCTCTATCCCTTTCTTTTCCTCCAATAAAATATATTTTAAAAAAACCAAAAGAGCCCTCGCCTTATTTCCTGCACGAGGTTGTAGCCCTGGATGGAAAAAGGGGCAAAGCAGGTACTGCCCTTAGAGACCAGACAAGAGGGGCCCTTGCCTGACCCTTGGGCTTTTGAGGGCCCCCCTCAGCCTTTCTCCAGCGACACCGTTCCCCACTTTCCTGTCCTCCACCCCTGACCCTGAACCTGTGTCTGGGTCCTGTGCAGGCCTCTTTCCCGGGTCCATGCTCCCAAGAGTGGCTATGGGGTGGCTGCAATTTGCCGAGAGAGGGCAGAGAAGAAAAGGGGGGAGTAGGTAGAGTGTGGACTGCGGGCTGGGGTCCCCAGGCGTGCCTAAGGCCTCTCTCAGGGAGAGAGCCAGAGGGAAGGGAGGGGGCAGACCCTGGCTCATCAACCCACACTGACTTTTTCTAGCCTGGAACTCCAAGGCATTTGAGAATAAATGCAAACCTGCTTGCAGGATTCCATTTCCATGAAATTAATTTATGGTCACAGAAAACAGATATGTGGTTGCCCCGGAGAGGCGGGGGAGAGAGGGTACCTAGGAAGAGATGAACTGACTACAAAGGGCACAGGAAAAGTCTGGGAGTGGTGGGAATGTTCTGCATCTTGACTGGGGCAGTTCCGTGGCTGGACCCAAAGGTGGAAACACACTGAATAGTGTCTTTATTGTATGTATATTCTCCCAATGAAAACTTAAAAAATTCACACCGGGCATACAAGTTTTTATGAAGGTATGTTTGTCAAAATAAGAAGATAAAAATATATATTTTTTTAATTGTTAGTACATGTGCTGCCAAAGGGAGAACTTATTTACTTTTTAAAACATTCTACTTGCCAGTAAGTTTGGTGACATGACATAATGATCTGAGGCTCAGAAGCAGATGGCTCTCAGCGGCCTCTCTCCCCCTTCCAAAGGATGAACCCCACCCCCTTCTGGAGGTGGCCCGCCCCAGGCCCTCCCACCCCAGCCTGGAGCCCTGCTCCGTTCCCCCGCACCCACTCGCCCGGACCCCGCCTCCCGGCCCAGGAGCCCCGGCCCCTTACCCAGGCGGTGGCCTGCCTGGCGGCCCACGCTGCCCAGACACTGGATCAGGGTGCGGACGGCGGCGGGGCTGGCGGGGCTGGCGGGTGCAGGCGCCCGCGGACCGGGCAGCCGGTCCAGCAGGTGGTCGGCGAGCTCGGCGAAGAGGTCGGCGCTGCAGGCGGCCGCCAGGTGGCCCAGCGCCCCGACGGCCCGCTTGCGCACGGCCAGGCGCGGGCTGCTCAGCTGCGGCAGGAGGCAGTGCAGGAGGCTGGCGTGGAAGGCGCCGAGCGGGGGGCCCAGCCTGGGGGGCCGGAGGGGGCGTCAGGCGGGCCCCCTGGGGGCACACCCTGAGCCAGGCACCTCCTTACCGCCACACACACACACACACCCATCCTCGCCTGGCCTGCTCCCAGGAATCTAGCAACCCGATTGTGGTAAGGCACCCTGCCACTGTGTGGTGTGATCATTTATTATTTTTATTATTATTATTATTATTATTATGTAAAGAAAGCAACGAGGGGAAGGGACTTTCTCAAGGCCACCCAGCCAAGAAATGCAAGGTCAGAACTTGAATCCAGAGGTCCCGGCTTCTGGCTTGGGAGGAAGGCACCATGGTAATAGGTACGGGGGGGCTACAGTGAGGCTGTCCTGACTCCCTGGGAGTCTGGGCCTGGCCTCTGCGTCCATCCCACCTACCCTAAGGTGAGCAGATGTCCCGCTTTTGGCAGGACAGTCCCGATTTTTAAAATTTTTAAAATTTTAACAATTTGTCCCTATTTTTTTTTTTTTTTAACGATTTGTCCCGTGTCCCGTGGGGTTTAAAACGCCACGGGACGCGGGACAAATTGTTAAAAATCGGGACAAATTGTTAAAAATCAGGACTGCTCACCTTAACCTACCCCCCCCCCCCCACACACACACAAACCGGAGTAGTCTAAAGCCTACTCCTCTGCTTATCTCCCTCAGTCTCCTTGATGGCTCCCCAGTGCCCTCTGAAAAAGCTGAGCTCTGAGCTCAAGGCAAGAGGCAACACAAGAGAACGGTTTCTATACAGGTAGGAGGCGGCCCCTGCCCACCTCAGCAGCTTCCATCCTCCCCTTTGGACCACGCTTGTGTATTTTCTGTCCTCAGACCTTTTCTCCTTTCACTCTGCACTGACACACGGACCTCGCCTTCCCATCTCTCTCCATCCAGCCCAGACCTCTCGTCTGGGTTTCATTTACTTATGTGTTTCAGTGTTTCCCAAAGTGTGGTACACGTACCCCCAGGGGTACGGGAAGAGTTTGGTGGGGGTACGCGTTGCACCGGAGTTTGGTGGGGATATGCACAGCACCGTGCTTATCTGAGCCTAATTCTACGTTCTCATGAGTACGGAGGGGGACTCAGCGTTATGAAAATTATAGAAGGGGTACACATATGTCAAAAGTTTGGGAAACACTGAATGTGATAGGGCCTGTGCTGGACTTTTAAAAAGCTATGGAGAGACCTGAGTTCAAATCCTAGGTTCTGCCATTTACTGAAAATCTGACTTCAGGCAGGTCACCACACCTCTCACAGCCTATCACATTGTGACAAACGAGTTCTCCTTTGCAGGACTGCAGGGCCAATTCAAGAGCCCTGAGCACAGGGCCTGGAGTGCAGACGGGGCTGGCTCTGTGGATTTCAATCCTTACCTGTCCCCTTTGCTCCCCCTCCTACCCCGATCCCGATCCTTCTTGCCCGGGGTGGCCTCTTGCACCTGCTCAGCATGTCAGAGAGGATGTCCAGGGCTTCCAGCTGCACGGCCACGTCCTCCTGCTGGGCGATGGCACTGGTGAGCTGGCCGGTGATCTTCCTGCACACGTTGGCGGCCAGGCCGGAGCCTGTACAGGGCACAGGATGGGCATGGTGAGTAGCAGAGCTGGCCTCTACTTCTGGTTAGCCTTTCATCTGCTGACCCAGGAAACCCAGAGCCTGAGTGATCCCATGCTTGACCCAAAGTCCTGACCGAACTTAAGGTGCCCCCTCAGGGAGCTAGAATTGATGGCCAACCCGCCGGCCGGTTCACCCCATATCCAACCCCTCCTTCCACCCGGGGGAAGGGAAAAGTTAAGCATTTCCTTTCCTGGACTCCCTTACTGCTAGGAGGGGCCAGATGACCCCTTTATGGAGGGGTTCTAGGGAAACACGTGTTTTTCTTATAAAGGGCAAGAGACTTGGACAGAGACTCAACCCGGTCCTCCTTGAGCTGCTGAATGAATTGCTGCAAACATGGAACTGCTGACCCTCACTTCTTTAAGATGCCTCGCGTTGCATTTTGTAACTTGCAGCTAAAAGCATTCCTGACACAGAGCCATGAACTTTGGACAGGGACCTGGATTCTCTGCCGCCGACTAGCTGCTTGACCTTACATCAGTCCCTTCGCCTCTCTGAGCCTCGGTTTCTTCAACCATAAACTAGGACAAGTAATTATAGTACCTCGTTCCTGGGGCCTGGGTACCTGTGGCGGCAGGGGGCAACTCCGACAGGACAGTCTTGAGGCCGATGCCAGCAATATCACGGAGCTGCTCCTTGTCTGACCGCATGTTGGTGCAGAGAGCGTCCACGATGGTCTCCACCTGGTACTCCTTCACTTTGCCCACCAGAGGACCCAAGCTGACAAGGGGGAGGGAGGGCGTTCAAAAGCCCCAGGCTCAGCCTGAGTCAGCCGTATGTTCCCTGTCCAACTCCACTGGGACCCCCAGAGCTGCTTTGCAATTCTTCTCCCTATACCTTTTGCACTATTTTAATATACCATAAAATTTCCAAGAATGTAATTATCAGGTAAATGAAGGAAGATTGTACTTCGTTTTTCTGAAAAACTTTACAAGGAGATAGTCACCGTTTCAGAAAAAAAAGTGTCAGTCTGGGCACTCACAGAGAGCCCGGCTGAGGGGCAGGCTTCTTGTGATTTCAGTATCACTCTGCTGTCAAGCACGAGCACTTACTGAAACACATAGGTACTATTTTACTATGAGCCACATTCCTCCTACTTCTCCTTTATGTTACAGTTGAGGGCATGATGTACACTGAGTGGCCAGATTATGATGATCTCTGAATGCATAATAATCTGGCCACTCAGTGTATATCCTATAGAATAAAAGGCTAATATGCAAAATATCCCCTCAACCAGGAGTTCGACCAACAGGCAGGTCAGCCAACCACCCATGTCCGCTCCCCCTGGCCAGGCTGGCCAGACCCCACCCGTGCACAAATTCATGCACCGGGCCTCTAAAATATATATATATATATATATGGAGTGGCCAGATTATTATGCATTCAGAGATCATAATAATCTGATCACTTAGTGTATACTGCTTTGAAATTGTGTGGAGGCAGGTTATAATATGTGTGAATTTCACTTCATGAGAGGAAAAGGGTACTTCAGACTACCTGCTGAAAAGGGAGATATTGGTTGTGCTGGTGGGAAACCATAGCCCACCCTTTCTCTTTTCCATTCCACACACCTGACCATGTCATGGTCCTGCATAAAACTCTCTACTGAATTCCCTTTGCTCAAGTTGAATTTAATTCACATGGCCCAGAATGCCTGGGCCCAGCTCACAGAGTACTGTTAAAGACGCAGTGCCCCAATCCTCTGTTGACTATTGACCCCCCCATTCTTCAGTGCCTGCCCCCTCTGGCCCCCTCCTCTGCCCCCCCCCACACACACACACACGTCCTGTGCATACTTGAGGACCAACCTCATGGTGCAAAGAGCAAAGGATTTTGGGGCCATCATGTCCCTTCAGCTCCCACCAAGCTGGTGCAAGCCAGCCTGCATCTTCCAGTGCCAGTGCCAGCTTGAGCACATTCTCTGGCTAGAGGTGCCTGGGAATGCATCACTCGCCCCTACCCCAGGGGTATCCCTCAGTCAAGGACTGACAGAGAGCTGGCACATGGGAACACTCTAAGGGGCCCCCAGTAGAGCTAAGCTCTGCTTGTCCACAACAGTAACTTGCTTGATAGCACAGGCTTGATTGGCTTTCTCCCTTCCCTGCCTCACGGGATTCCCTATTCCTGGGCTTTTCCTGGGGTCACCCCTCAAATAAACTTACAACTGAGTCCTTGTTGCTGGGTCTACTTCTGGGGGAACCCAGACCAAGTCACTGTCCAACTCCACTGGGACTCCCAAGAGCTGCTTAGCAATTCCTCTTCTCTCAGAGACTGTACCCCAAAGGGGCAGGGGCCCCTGGGGAGCTTCCCCGCTAGGGGAGCATAGCCAGAGGATGCCTCCCTGTCTCCCCCCTCCCCACCCCCCAAGGCCGACACTCACCACTTGACGGCCAGGTTCTGCACCTCCCCATTCTTGTCCTCCAGGAGCTTCAGCAGCATCTTCACCACCTTGCGCTCGCTGTCCTCGTCCAGCTGGATGGAGTCCTTCTGCAGCTCTGACATCAGGTCACTGGTGGCCATGAACCTGGGCAGCGAGGGCAGAGGGGGATTTTCAAGCCACTCCCGGGCCCCAGGGGTTTGGGAAGCTCTTAGGGTTCTCCCAGAAGCAGGCTTTAATGCAAAGATTCAAGGGAAAGTCGGTGATCCAGGCTGTGGACACAGTCAGGCTCCCACAAGAAGACCGTGTGTGAGAGACACCAGCTGCACAATGGGGCCGGCCCGGAGTGGCAGGGCAGAGCACACTAGCTAAATGCTTGGGGCCTCGAGGCTGGAGGCTCTTGCTTCTGACATTTAAACAAACGTGAACTTGGACAAACGTGAACTTGCTGAGCCTTGGTTTACCTGTCTGAGAATAGGATTTGCCTCCTGGGGCTGTAGGGAAGATAAAATGAGAGAATGCATGCAGTGTGCTTAGCACACAGTGAGAACTCAGTCCATAGACACTCAGTAAGCGGCACTGCCCTTGTTATAAAGACACAGTACGTCATTCACGTCTCATTCATGAAAGTTGACCAGACACCTTTCAATGAAGTCAGGTGTCAGCAAGAAGCTTCTCCCCCTGCCCACTTCCACTTCAGCCCCAGCCCTTAGACCAGCGGCTCTCAAACTGCAGCCAGCGCGAGAACCACCCGCAGGGCTGCCCAACGCCGCTGGGCCCACCTTCAGGGTTTCTGAATCAGTAAATCTGAGCCGGGCATTTCTAACAAGTTTCTGGATGATGTTGAAGGGCAGGGACCCCACTCTGAGAATCACTACCCTTGGCTATGCCGATGGGCCCGAGCGTGTCTTAGACCTAGGTGGTCATCAGAGTCCAGGGCTACCCACCCCCAGATGGGCAGATCTGTGTGGCCTGGTGCCCTGTTCAGGGCATTGGACCTTGCAGTGGCAGACTGAGCTGCAAAGTCATGGAGAGTTGGGCTGCAGGGGGCGCTGTGGAGCACCATTCCTGCCAGGATTCAGAAAGGAGGGCAGAGTCATTCAAACTGGCAGCCCTCAGCTGTGTCCACCTTGCAAATGTTTGGGAGAGTAGACATAAATGTAATGATTTCCAGATTCGACTGAAAACAGAATATTTGAATACAACTGGGCCTATATGACGATAACTGGCTTTAATCAAGTCACGGCTGCCCTCTTTAGACGGGACACACACACTCCGGGCCAACAGGTTCCCGCCAGGCCCACTCCACCTGCTCACGGGCTCTTTCAGGCACTGGAGAGAGGACATTAGATGAGAAAGCATGGCAGAGCAGTGAGGAGATATGCCATGAAGTCGAGATCAAAGTGTGGTGGCCCCAGGAAGCATCCAGCTTTTGCCGACCCACAGGCCCCCCCAGCTCCCCACGCCAGCCTTGCTTTCTGGTGTGAGCCAGTCAACCAAAAGCCTCCTCCCCCACACACCCCCCTCCACCCCCTGCAAAACTGGTCACAGTCTGCCTCATTTTTGCAGGCACAGATCTGCTGCTGCATGTCACGATGGCCCACTCCCTCCTGTTACCAGGAGGGCACCTGCCGATGTCACCGCTGTTTATTTTTAATAGTTGGGATAAGCCTCAAGCTGCTGAGAGAAGGAAGGCGTGGCAGGGCTGACTGTGCCCACCTCTGGGCCTGGCCATCCCAGGAGAAGCAGCCAAGATAAGGTGAAGGGAGAGGCTTGGGTCTGAGCCAGGCCAGGGCCTGGGTTAGGCACATGCACTCCGAGGTCTGTCCAGCTGACGGGACATTCTCAGAAGGTAGGCAGGGTCTCTAAGCTGCGTTGCTGCTGCAGTCCCTGGAGAGCCAGCTCCACCCGGCAGCCCCAGGGATGTGCTCCTTTGCCCGAGATGGGCCTTCTGTCCTTCCTTTCTCCTCCATCCGCTGAAAGCTTAGTCATCTGCCAAGGGCCCACCTCAAAGCAGCCTCAGGGATGACTCCTCTGACCAGCTGTCCTACCCCCTTACACACACTCTCTCAGCGCACCTGGTTCCTCTGGACAGGACCCTTCAGACAACTGCGCCCCTCCGTCACAGCACTTCTCCCATCGCACTGCACACTTGGTCACCAAGGTGTCTCCCCCATTACACGAGGAACTCACAGGGACTTGGCAGTTTCACCTCTGGGACTCCAGGCCCAGCAAAGAACAGGTCCAAAGAGGGCCTGGAGTGTGTATGTGTGTGTGTGTGTGTGTGTGTGTGTGTGTGTGTGTGTTTGGGAGGGGGTGGGGGAAGTTGGCAAAATGAAGGCAGGAAGGGAGGAAGGTTAGATAGAGTCAGGCTCTAACAGGGCTCCACACTAAACAGCTGTGTGAAAACCTGAACTCAGCCGAAACCGGTTTGGCTCAGTGGATAGAGCGTCGGCCTGTGGACTGAAGGGTCCCAGGTTCGATTCCCGTCAGGGGCATGTGCTTTGGTTGCGGGCGCATCCCCAGTAGGGGGTGTGCAGGAGGCAGCTGATCGATGATTCTCTCTCATCGATGTTTCTAACTCTCTGTCCCCCTCTCTTCCTCTCTGTAAAAAAAAATCAATAAAATATATTAATTAAAAAAACACACACACACAAAACCTGAACTCAGAAATCAACCTTCTGACATATGCCTCAGCATTGCAGACCCCCCCACCCCAGTTCCTGGAAACACTTAGCTGTCTGAGGAAGAAAGCTCTGCTGTGCACATGTACGTGGAGGTGACGGGGGGTGGGCAGGAAAGTGTGTAACTCGGTAGACGGGAGCTTGAGCACCAATGCTTGGCTTTCAGTGAACACACTGGTCTTGCCACTTATCCACGGGGTCACCCCGAGCCACTGACTCCTCTCTGAGTCCCACTGTTTCCATCTGAAACATGAGAATTTTCTTTGCCCTACTTCATCACATCCTGGGGAGGTGTGAAGAGGGGCAATGAGTCCTTAGCAGACGAGGAATCTAGGCTCAGAGAGGTTGCAGGAACTGCCCAGTGTCACACAGCAAGTTGGGAGGAAAATCAGCCCCACTCGTCAGTCCCCCCGGGTCCTCAACCAATACCATTGTGCTTTCAAGAAATGATGTGGGAATTCCTACCAGATCCCACCTCCCCACCCTCCCCCAGTTTACCCATTTCCCCGCCCACAGAGTGGGGCCCCGGAATAACAGGGATCAGAGACTTCCTTCGCCCTGCCTGGGACCTCCCTCTGCAGTCACCGCTTGCCTCCAGGATCCAGAGGACACAGTCTCAGTTTCATTCCAGAGAAACCTTAGAGGAGACTCAGCTGAAACACTCAGCCACATGGGTGCCTGGGCAGCTGGTCAGCAGGACCCAGCCTCTCTGGTATTTGGACTTTAAAAATAGACACCATCCTCTTTTGCCCGAGCCGTTTGAAATGTTCTCAGGGACACCGGCAGAGCAGGCTGAGAGGGCTTCTTAGGCTCTAGGTGGCAGGACCAGCCCCTCCGGGAGACGAGACCTAAGGTTCTGCCAAACCCCCTCAGCGGTGTGACCGCAGGCAAGTGTCTCCACCTCGCCAAGCCTTTGGAGAGCAGGAAGAGCAATCACTATCGCCCAGGTGGGCAGGTGGGCTGATGAGACGACACTGCAGAGCACAGCAAGGACCCTGGGACACAGAACATAGCCCCTCTCTGGGCACTTCCTGGGGACAAAGAACAGGCTCTGGGACAGAAAAAAAAAAAAAAAGAAAGCTCACAGTTTGGTGGCCCAGGAGCCCGGGGTCTCCCAAGGCTAAGAGGTGACCTCGCAGAAACACAGACAGAGGAGGTGTGGGAGCTCAGAGGAGGTGCCTACACCTGCCTGGGTGTCAGGAGGCATCCCACACAGGTGACACCTGAGCAGGGGAAGGGTGAACATGAGGACGGAGAACAGAACTTCCAGACTGGGGAGAGGGCATGGCAGATGTCTGATAATGCACCACATCATGGGTCCATTTATGAAGGGCTTCCCCGGTGCCAGCCCCTAATCTAAACATTCCACGTGCATTAACGCATCCTCACACCAGCCCTCTGAGGTGGTTCTATTAATACCTGCATTTATAGGAACAGAAGCTGAGGTTCAGGACAGGTGAAGCAGCCTGTCCACGGTCACACGGCCAGGAAATGGCTGGGGCCAGGATCTAAAGCCAGAGCTCACAGGCTCTCCTAAAGCTGTGTCAGAGATCTTGAGGGGTGTTGAGGAACGGGTTTCCGGAGAAGGCAGGGGGCTGGACTCAGAGGGCTGTTAAGATCTCAGCCTCTGTGTTTTGTCCCTCAAGTCCTCCACTTCCTAGCTCTGTGACTGCCCCTAGGCCCTTCCTGCCTCTGGACCTCAGTTTTCCTATCTGTAGAATGGGGATAAAGGGATGGAATGTTCAACAATAAGTGGACGCAGCTCTATTGGTCTCTGCAGGCTCCTTTCCGCTCTGAGGGTCCAGAATTGGCTGAGTGATCATGGGACACAAATCCCTTCACCTCCCTGGACCTCAGTCTCATCCATTCCCCCAGGTTGAGGGGGCTGGACCACAGGTTTCCTCCATTCTTTTCAGCTCTGCTCCTGTGCGGCTCAGTGAGGCTGGGGGAAGGAGGAAGAAGAGGAGTGGGCACACAAAACCCAGAATCCCCCACCCTAACCATATCTGTACCTGCAAAGCCACTCGGCCCAGACTCTTCCTTCAAGCTGTGTCTGAGAAAACCAGGGAAGGGAGGGGTGAGATGGGAAAGGGGGCCCTGAGGTGCAGGGAGAAAGCCTGGAGTGATAAGGGGAAGAGCCCAGAGGGAGGGTGCTGAGGTTATCAGGGAAAAAGTCAACCCTGGTGAATGATCCCGGGAAGGGGCTGGGTTCCAATCAAAGCAGGAAAGAACGGGCAGCGGACAGCGCTCGGGACCCTCGCTTCCCTGTGGGAGCATCAAACGGGGGGCGAGAGGAGGGCTGGGCACAGGTGCAGAGAGCAGAGGCAGAGGAGGGGTGCAGAGAGGAGTTGGGCTGTGATGGGAGGCAGGGGCAGGGGACAGAGAGCAGAGGCAGAGGAGGGGTGCAGAGGGGAGCTGGGGCTGTGATGGGGGACAGGGCAGGGGGCAGAGAGCAGAGGCAGAGGAGGGGTGCAGAGGGGAGCTGGGCTCTGATGGGGGGTAGGGGCAGGAGGCAGAGAGCAGAGGCAGAGGAGGGGTGCAGAGGGGAGCTGGGGCTGTGATGGGGGACAGGGCAGGGGGCAGAGAGCAGAGGCAGAGGAGGGGTGCAGAGGGGAGCGGGGGCTGTGATGGGGGCAGGGGCAGGGGCTGAAGTTTGCACGGTGGGAGGTGAAGCAGAGATTAGAGTCACTCTCCGGGCCGGAGAGGTGTGGGCTCACCCCGGGGTGGGGCATGGGGTGGGGGCGGAATGGGGGGCCGGCAGGGGCTGCGGTCCTGGGGGCGGGCGGGCGCTGGGGAGCGGAGGAAGGCCCGGGGTATCCGGGCGGCGGGCGGCGGGCGCACCTGAAGTCCTTGTCGCTGGACGTCATCTTCTCCAGGAGGCTGGCGATGTGGAAGGCGGCGGTGCTCATGGTGGCGGCGCCGCGGGCGGCCGGCGGGAGGGAATATGGCGCGGGCGCCCCCCGCCCCCCTCGCCGCCCGCCGCGCTGCGCTCACCGGACAGAAATAGCCGCCGCCCCGCCCGCCCCGGGCGCTCCCGCCGCCGCAGGAGGCTGGGCGGTCCGTGCGGGGCTCCGGGGTCCCCGCCAGCAGCGCTTGCATGCTCCCGGCGACGGGGAGCTCATCACCTATCATGGGACCACGTCTGCCTGTGATTCCTGCGGGGCCCCGGCTTTCCCCCTGCTCGGGGGCCTAGGCGTGGGATCCCAGTCTGGGGTTGCAATCCTAGTTCTGCCAGGCCCGTCCCCCCCCCCCCCCATACTGTGCAGCCGTGGCCAAGTGACGGGTCTTCCCTGAGCCTCCGCTTTCTCCTCTCAGCATTCAGGGAGCAGGAGCTGCTATTGGTAGGTCAAGCCACCCAAAGCCGGTCCACCCTGCCCCACTCCTCATGCTGGGCCGTCCCAGAGCCAGAGGGGATCTGAAAAGGGTACATACACCAAGGCGGCTGCCTGCCACCCCCAATCCCCCAGGCCCTCAGGATCCCTTTCTCCATTGTATAGCGATGGCCCTGAGACCCAGAGAGGCAAAGGGAGCCGTTAAGGGCTATCTGTCTGGGATGGAATTAGGACTGACCCCAGAACCCTTCACACCTTGGGCAACAATTCTGCCATGACGCTGCCCACGGTTAGAGACAAGGTGTGAGAGGATCTGTAGGGGGACAAGGAGAGTCCCCTCTAAATAGCCAGGAGGCTGCTGGCTGGGGGGGGGGAGGGGGGGGAGTGGCTCGAGCTTTGGAGCAAGACAACCCTGGGTTCCAGTCCCTGCTAGGCTGCTTCCTGGCTGTGTGGCCTCAGGATAACAAGACAACCACCGAGCCACACCGGCCCGGCTGTAATGTCTTTCTTTAACAGGGGTAAATCTTGCTCTCACTATCTACAATATATTTACTTACATGTTCAGTCTTAGTATTCTAAGTGTTGACACCAATTGTGTGATTTTTTTCCCCCCTCTCATACCAAGCAATTCTGGCACTAACTACCCAGAGTTAGCACAGCCTCCAAATGTTAAGGGCTTATTTCCGTGACACACCCTCCATGTCCGATGCCAATGGCAAGTCTAGGCCTCCCACAGTGGCAGGTGGAGTTTACGTCATTCTCCGTCCATCAGTTGGGGGAAGGGAGGATCTATCAGATCTACTATTTTTAAAAAATATATATTTTATTGATTTTTTTTTTACAGAGAGGAAGAGAGAGGGATAGAGAGCTAGAAACATCGATGAGAGAGAATCATCCACCAGCTGCCTCTTGCGCACCTCCTATTGGGGATGTGCCCGCAACCAAGGTACATGCCCTTGACCGGAATCGAACCTGGGACCTTTCAGTCCGCAGGCCAACGTTCTTTCCACTGAACCAAATCGGTTTCGGCTATCAGATCTACTATTAATCGAGGGTTGCCATGGCTTCCTCCTCAGGTTCGATCATTAGCTAGAAAAACTCACAACACGTAGGCTCAAGTTTACTTATGTTTGTTGGTTTGTTATATTGATATAAAGGCTATGAATGAACAGCCAGGTGAAGTGGCACATAGGGTGAGCTCTGGAAGGTCCCCAAGTACATGGGCTTCTGTCCCCATGGCGTTGGGGTACACCACCTCCTGGCACACTAACCTGGAAGCTCTCTGAACCCCACAGATGAGGGATTATTATGGAGGCCTCCTCACCACGGCATAACTTAATATTAGCTCAGTCTCCAGCCTCTCTCCCTTCCCAGAGGCTGAAAGTTCCAAGTTTCTAATCACAGCGTGGTCTTTCTGGTGACCAGCCCCATCCTGGAGCTTTCCAACAGCTCACCAAGAGTTGGCTCATTAGAACAAAAGAGGTTTCCATCGCCCAGAAAATGCCAAGGGTTTCAGGAGCTCCGTGTGAGGTGATCTTATCGCCTCCACCAACTAAGGGAATTACAAGCGTCTGTGTCAGGAACTGGGTACTCACAGTAGGTGCACATTCTTTCCCCCTTACACCTACTGTGCGTAATCCTCAGACAGGAGAGGTCATTGGGGCGTTTCCATCAGCCGGAGGGATCCCATGGCCCCAATCACAAGCATGCCCAGGGGGAGTGAGGGCTAATTGACCAGGCACTGACCGGAGCACTTTGTACAAATCCCCAATGACCTCTCCTGTCTGAGGATTACGCACAGTAGGTGTAAGGGGGAAAGAATGTGCACCTACTGTGAGTACCCAGTTCCTGACACAGACGCTTGTAATTCCCTTAGTTGGTGGAGGCGATAAATCATTTCACCACGGGGAGGAGCTGCCTGCTCCTCGTGTTTATGTGGACGTGGGGACTGTGTCTGAGCTGTCCGGTGTTTCCAGAGTGCACGTGCTTGCTGAGTCAGGTGGGCCTCAGGCTGGCGGTTCTGGAATGCGGGGAAGCCGGATGCCACGCTCAGCTGCTGAGCTGGCTCCCCCGGGGCTGTCAGCTGTGCCCACAGGACAGTGGGAGGTTGTCTCATGAATCAATGGCCCCCCTCACATGCTCTCTCTCTCTCTGTTTCTCTCTCTCTCTCTGTTTCTCTCTCTCTCTCTCTCTCTCTCTCTCTCTCTCTCTCACACACACACACACACACACACACACACACACACACACACACTGCAGTGGGGTCACCTTGGGAAGAAGTTGAGCTGGGGCCCCCCTTATATATCTGGCAGTTCCGTCACGGTCCTGGACGGAGCTGCCAGATATATTTCCTATCTCTGCCTGTGGCACAGATAGGAAATGCCCTGAGTCTCTGCCTCCGTCCTGTACCAAGTTCACTCACAACCAGGTGCTACAGGAGTAAATTCTACATTTGCTCAGGGAGGGCAAGGACCTCAACTTGGAACTAAAAGGCCAGCAAAAGGTTGTGGCTATATATATATATATATATATATATATATATATATATATATATATATAATTTTTTTTTTGAGCATCTACTATGTGTCAGTCGTTCACATATGGTAGGAATGTTATTTGGTCCAGTGGTTCTTAAACTTGAGTAGGCATCAGAATCACCTTGGGTGCCTGATAAATTACAAATGGTGGGTCCCACCTCCAGAGTTTGTGATTCAGTAGGACTGAGATGAGACCTGAGAATTTGTTTTTCTAAAAGGAGCTGTTGATGCTGCTGGTTCAGGGACCATATTTTGAGAATAATTTGTTCAACTTTCTTTTCCCTGCTTAATGATGGTCTTCAAGTTTCTTCTCCCATACCTCCAGGACCGAGGTCTAATTGCCTGTTCTGTCAGCCTATTTCTAAATAGTTCTTACTGTGAAGATATGAATTGTGTGTGTGTGCTTATGTTGAGATAAAAACTAACTTTGTTGGCTCTTCCTTGTGGCCCCTTCTTTCTGCCTCTAGACCATGCTGTCATCACAAAGAAGCAATTGGGGGGCGGAGTAGAGACTTGCAATTAGAACAAGGGTCTCCCTCACCCCCATAGCTCACTGACCACCAAGCCCCGTCCATTTTGCCCTCTAACTCAACGCTGTCCAACAGAAATACACTGTGAGTTCTATGTGCCTATGAAAACTTTTTAGTTTTCCAGGAGCTACTTTACAAATAGCAAAAAGAAGCAGGTGAAACTAACTTTCATAATATTTCTTATTTAACCCAATATATCCAAAATAAGCTACAGTGTATATTTTATTTTCATACCACGTCTTGGGAATCCAGTGTGTGTTTTAAACACACAGCACCTCTCAATTCCAGCCAGCCACATCTCAAAGGCTCCGTAACCAGCCACAGGTGGCTGGTGGCCTCAGATGGTGCAGGACCCTGGCCCCGTCCTTATCTCCCTGCTATGGCTCATGCTCACCGGATGCCTGCCTCTCACAGCTTCCCACCAGCCCAAAATAAGGCAGCCAAACTGTCGCCTAAAACATACATTTGGTCATGTCTGTTTTGCATGGCTCCCCATCACTCTCAGAATAACATCCAGCTTCTTTGGCCTGACTTCGGAAGCCCTGCCTCTCTCACTCTCCCTTCTCTTCCCCTCCCGCTCCCCACGCCCCTGCTCTCCCACTGTCTCTCACCTCTAGGCATTTATGGCTGTGCACATGGTCCCCTCTGCCTAGAATGCCTTCGGAATGCTTGTGGGGCTGCCCTTTCAGGTCACTTATTTGTTCAACAAAATGTACAGAACACCTGCTATGTGTCAGACACTGTCCTGGATCCTGGAACAAACAGACACACAACAAGGAAATAGGCATCACAAGAAAATACACCATACGTCAGGTGGTGAACAATGAGGCAGGGTGAGAGGGAAAGGTGGTGCGGGCAGTTCCTACTTCACTCAGGGTGGCCAGGGAAGAAGGTGACATTTGGGTAGAGACCTGAAAAGTGAGGAAAGCAGCCAGGTAGCTGTCTGGGGAAAGCACTCTAGGCAGAGGGAATGCCTGGTGCCAAGGCCCCGAGGAAGGGTCTGACTGGGCAGAGTGAGAGAGGAAGTCACAGAAATTAAGATGAGAGAGAGCAAGAGGCAGGTTTAGACCATGCAGGGCTGTAAAAGGACCGGAGTTTCATTCCAAGGGAGGGGGAGCCCTGGGAGGGTGCTGGGAGGGTGTGGGCAGAGGAGGTACAGGATCTGAGATGGATTTTCATGGGATTGTTTTGGTTGCTGTCATGACAACAGACGATGGGCTGAGGTCAGGAGCAGAGAGATTAGCAATTGTATTGTCTGAGCCAGGGTGGTTGCCATTGAGAAAAGGGTCCAGATTCGGGATATGTCGAAGGTGAGGCCAACAGGGCTTTCCAGATAGGTCAGCTACAGGAGAGAGGAGAGCAAAGGGTAAAGGGTGACTCCAAGATTTTGGCCTTAGCTTAGAATCTGGATGACTCCACGTCTAGAAAGCCCTGGGAACCACAACTCCTGGGGCCTGGCCTTCACGGTGCCTGTCGGGACCTGTCTCCCTCTGGCCTGGGTGCCTGCTCC